GGCACACGTGAGTTTGACTAACTTTGTTGTGACATTAAGAATCTTTTTAACCAGTGGGGGTTGTTTTCCCTTAAAAATGTTTAGGGGTACTCTCATTCTGACTCAAGAAAACCACCATTTTATAGTTCAAATCGGGGAAAATAAATACAGTAAATGGACAAAAGTACAAAGATTCACACAATGTTTAGGGGAATACGTACCCCTGCGTACCCCCAGAAAAAGCACTGTTTTTAACTGTCACTGTTTAAACTGCCAGTTGTGAAAGAAGTTTCTCAAAACTTTAATTAATCAAAACGTATCAGAGATTTACAATGAGCAAAGTCATTCTGCAATTAAAGTTGCCAGAAAACAAGGCAGGGATTTGTGGGCCCCACCTCACTAAGCTTTAAACCGGGGGTTGATGTGGGCAGAAAGCAACTGGCCTGCACAGCTCCTTCAATGAAATCACCCACCAATTCCTAGAGATCTACTTCCTATACCCTGCTCTGCATATATACAGCAATAAACAGGCTCCAAAGTCCACCAGCTGATTTCTCCCCTGAAAATCCAGATCTTTCCTTCCCTGTTCTGTTTATCTTTAGCCAACACCCTTGTTTTTCTTTTTCTTTTTGCTGTACTTAACAAGAAACATTATCTTTGTTCTTGCATGTGTGTGTGTTGAGTTATATGTGAAAAGATGAAAATGTCAAACTCAGCATCCCACCTTCCCCTCCCAACCTGAAGGCATAGCTGAGATCAAAATAAAAACAGGAGAGTTCATAAGCCCTGGAGCAGAAAGAGTCCAATCGCTGCTGCTGTCCAGGGCTGTTTTTCTAGAAAAAAAAAGATGCTGGAACTCACCAGGAACCTTCTCTTAGGTGCCCACCTGACAGGTGCCAGAACCCACCGAGAGGTGGCGGGACTGAGTTCCTGGGAGTTCCCCTGGAAAAAAGCCCTGCTGCTGTCAATATATAAAGGGAAGTGTTAGCACGGCCGCATAATACGAATGTGACGGGTACACTTTGTCCTGCAGTCTTTGTTCTTGGGCAGAATAAACAGCCACTAGTCTGCTTTAAAAGTCGTTCAGGGTGTGGGGGATGCTGGTTGCCCTCACAAATTGTTTGCGTCCATTTCCCACAAAGTGCCGTCTCCCAAATTATGTGATACCATTTTTGGTACATTGGTACCCTTCACTTCTTTTCAATCTCTGGCTATCAATATTCTTGCTGCCGTTAATAAGTAATCAATCATATGTTCATATAATAGCCCTAGAGTTGTCGCGGCTGAATATACCTAACAATGCTATTTTGGGTTGGGGGCGGGGTTCCCAAAAATATTTTATTAATAAATCAAAGATAAAGAGCAAAACGAAATACTGTCACAGGAAGCTGAAAGCAGCATAAGGCTGAGAATTGTTGTTGAACTTGTTGTTCCAAAACAGCACACACAAAATAATTCCTGCCCTGTGATTCCTGAATTGCAGAGGGTTAGAGTAGATGACCCCTGGGGATTCATTCCAGCTTTACAATTCTGTGACCCCCAGCTTAGTAAAAAATCTTCTTTACTTATATGGTTCTTTATGTTGATTGATATAGCAAGTTGAAGTAAGTAGGTGTTAACCTTCAGGGGGTGTTGTTTTTCCAAATCATCTCTTCAGGAATTTAGCTTACAAGTTAGGCAGAGAGACCAGCTTCAACTGTCTCCCCTCTTGAGAATTATCACTGGATACAGAATCGTAGAATCCTAGATCATCCATGGCAGATGGCCATCCAACCTCTGCTTAAAAACCTCCACGGAAGGAGAGTCCACCACCTCTCATGGGAGCCTGTTCCAACGTTGAACAGCTCTTACAAACTCTAGATAACATCCCCATATAGATCTATCCATGTAGCAGAAGCAAATATTCTTTTTTAAAACATTAACTATGGGATATAATTACCGGTAAATCAGAAATGGGAACCAAACACACACATGCTGAGTTCTATTCATATTGGGTTGCAACCATTGCTGGTCCTCCTGAGAGCAGACTCATTGAAATTAATAGACGTGACTAACTTTGATCTATTAATTCCAGTGGGTCTACTCTGACTGAAAGTTGGTTGGATACAACACAGAGAGCCCAACAACAGAGTAATTAGATTCTGGGTAGCAAAGAGCTGGGTAGCAAAAGCTCATCCCACCTCCCGCCCTCCGTAAGGACTATAGTATTCAATTAGATTGCTATAACATTCTTTACATGGCTGTGTCCATGAAAACAGTTTAGAAAATTCCATTGGCCCAGTGATAGCCAGAAGTGTTTTGCTGATGGCCAACTGATCAATCCACATGAGGCCAACCCTACATCAGTCTCCAGAGTTGTCACCTTCTTCCCTAGTTTTAAGCTTTAAAGGCCTCACAGTCCTGGGCTAGATAGAGTAGGTCAGGAATTGGCTGCTTCTGCCCAAGAACTTTGTCCTGTGTCTCCATTCCTTCACTCTCTCCCTCTGCTGTTGAGGGACCACTTCTAGGTGAGTGCCAAAGACAGTTTTGTTTCAGATTTATAAGATAAGGCTCTTTCAATATGCTGTGCTTCTGGAGCTGCTTCTACAACCCAACCATATGCAAACTTCCTTGGAAGTAAATATCCTTGCAGTTCAGAGGCTGCCATCTCCTATGGCTTTCAGAAGAAGAAGCAGATTTAAAAGGCCCCCATTTCTTTTTCACAATTAGAAAACAGCCAAAGAAATGATAAGAGAATGATACATACAGCATGAAAAGGCCCAGGAAGGCAATGAGAAGGAACCATGTCTCAGTGGAGAAGCTTGAAAGGAGATCCATCTTGTTAGCCCTTGATGACTCTCCGGCTTTGAATGTGGATTTCTGCCCTCTTTATACTTGTTCAGGGCTGGAGCTCAAAGAGCAAAAACAAAAATTTCGCAATAGCTTTTGCTATCCATTCGCCTTTGCTCTGATGACTATCAGATTGACTCAGTCCAAGTTTCCTTTGTCTGAGGCCCGGTTAGTATTCCTTGTCACGAAAGAGGTGAGGCCTGAGAGTGGGTGTGTTGCCTCAGGTACCTTCTTATGTAAAAACCTCCTGCCAACCTCTCCAGCAGGTGCATGATGTCATCTTCTGATTCCTTTTACTACAGAACAGCTTTCTCTCACCTGGTGCCCTTCAGAAATGCCAAAGGATTGTGTCATTTGGTTGCCTTTTATCCGGGTACTGATAAAAGTGCCTTATCAAAGTGCCTGGAAGATGGAGCAAGCTTGCTTTCTGCTGCTCTGGAGGTGAGCACCCAAACGGATGGATTCAAGTTACAAGAAAGGAAATTCCATCGAAACCTTAGGGAGAATGTTTTGACTGTAAGAACTGTTTGACAGTGGAACAGTCTCCCTCCAAAGGTGGTGGACTCTCCTTCCTTGGAGGCTTTCCCAACAGAGGTTGGTTTTCTTATATTAGTGATATAAATGGCAAAAAGACCAGGATAAGACTCCAATCAACACATGCATCTTTACAGAGTGGATTTTTAAATGCACCCTGAGCAACACGCGTTATTTGCAACAGGAGGGGGAAATCCCCTGGCTTCTTCTGCAGTCTGCCTCATCTCTGCCTCTTGACCAACCTCCTCTCCAGCCTCCACTTCTGCCTCTGATGCTAGACCACTCTCTGCCCCAGCCTCTTCCTGCTCACTAAACCCTGTTGCCTCTTCCTCTTCTGACACCTCCTCCCACCAGTCTGCTCCCTCCTCTCCCTCTGAACACTCATTCTCTTATCTGAACACATTCCAGTTGGGATTCAGGCCTCATCATGGGATTGAAACTTCCTTGGTCGCAAAGCACCCGAGTCCTGGAAAGAGGCATTCATCATTCTGATTCCCAAACTGGATACAGATAGAGCTCAAGTAAAGAATTACCAACCAATTTCTTTGTTGAATGTGGATTATAAAATATTTGCAAATATTTTGGCTACAATACTGAAGAAGATTTTGAATAAGCACATACATAAAGATCAATCAGGTTTTTTACCTGAGAAGCATATGAAAGATAATATTAGGAATATAGTGGATGTGCTGGAAAGATTAGAAGGAAAAAAGAATACTAAAGCAATGTTAATGCTTATTGATGCAGAGAAAGCCTTTGATAATGTTTCTTGGAGTTTTATGAAACAGAACTTGTGTAATATGGGGGTCGGTCAAAATTTTTAAAATGGTATTAATGCAATTTACTTTGAGCAGAAAGCAAAAATTATAATTAACAATGTGGTCTCAGAAGAAATTAGGATTGAGAAGGGAACCAGGCAAGGGTGCTCACTTTCCCCCCTGCTTTTTATTTCTGTCCTAGAGGTGCTGTTGAACATGATAAGGAAGGATGAGGAAGTTAAAGGCATAGTAGTCGGAACTAAACAATATAAGTTAAAAGCCTTTGCTGATGATTTGGTATTGACTTTACAGGACCCTGAGATCAGGGCAATCAAAGCACTGAAGATAATTCAAGAGTTCGGACAAGTTGCAGGTTTCAAATTGAAGAAGAATAAAACCAAAGTTTTAGGGGGGGGGGAATTAATGATATATGAAAAACTTAATTTAGAGGAAACCACAGGGCTGAAGTTTGCGAAAAAGGTGAAATATCTGGGTGTAAATATGACTGCCAAACCATTGAATTTGTACAGAGAGGAGTATGAAAAGTTATGGAAAGATATCAAAAGAGATTTGGATATCTGGACAAGGTTGAAACTATCTTTGTTGGGCCAAATTTCTGCGATAAAGATGAATGTATTGCCTAAGTTGTTGTTTTTGTTCCAAGTACTTCCTATCATTGATAAGCTGAATTGTTTTAAGGAATGGCAAAAGGTATTATCTAAATTTATCTGGCAGGGGGAAATCCCAGAATTAAGTTTAAATTATTAACAGATGTGAAAGAGAGAGGGGGCTTCTCTCTGCCAGATTTAAGGATTTACTTTGAAGCTGCAGCCTTTTGCTGGTTGAAAGAATGGTTTTTATTGGAAGATACAGATGTTTTAGATTTGATAATGTATTTGGTTTGAAATGCTTCGTAATAAACTGCTTCCATTCCAAAAACAAAAGTTCAATGCAGATTGATTCTGCAATCCCCCACAGTGTGTCAATTTGTAAAAAAAGATGTAGGTAGTCTCACCCATGTGGTGTGTGTACCCAGACCTGCCCAATGGCATTGTGGGTAGGCCTATACCAAGAATGCAATCACCTCTTTCTCCTTCATTCATCTGGGTTGTGTGCAGGGAGGGAGAGGTGTAGATTATTTCTTCAAGGGGGGGGGGGTTCAAATGTGTATCAAGTAACCACTCGCACCCTTATGGACAGCAAGATCTTGAATCAGATGGGAGGGGTACAAATAACAAAATTATTATGATGATTCATTTGATTGAAAACAGCATGTTGAAGATGAACATGAATGATTAAGAATTGAGGGGGGGGACTACATTTTTGTGCTGCAAATGTGTTGGTGTGTCTGCAGCTAAAGGCTACTGTAGTGTGTTATACTCTGCATAAGGAAGATCATTCAAAATACATTTCCAACAGCTTCCGGTTCCACACTGCCGTAATGGAGGCAGCCTCCATGACAACAGGAGATCATTGGTGAAGGAAAAATAAGGATGATTCGTCTTGGTACCTGACTCTCGCTTCAGCATGGAGGCAGGGAAACGCTGAGTGCAAAAGCACTTCACCTGCCAAAAACCCTGCAACACCACCATTAAGAAGCAGACTAAAGTACAGGTGCATGCTAGAAGAGATGAGATCACAAACTGTGGAACAAACCAACTTGAGATAGGACTTCACTCAGTACAAAAGCCAGTGAGGGGAGGAGCCTATGGTTTCTTTATTGAAAGTTTTCTTCTCAATATTTACTATTCGGCAACCCTCCTCTGAATATTAGTTTACATTATATTTGTACAAGTGAGGTGGAAGAAATTGGATTATAAATATGGAATATAACAGCAAACAGAACTGTGTGTGTAAAAAAAGGAAGAGGGGAAGGAGGCTCTATTTTGCAAAAGGTTTACAATAGAAACTTAGAGCTGGCTCTTCCCCATCCTTTATTATTGAAGTGCAGTTTTTAAAAGCGAGTTTCGTTTCGGTTTGCAAATCAGTTTGATCCTCTGGAACCATTAGTAGTTCTCTTTGGGGAAACTTCCCAGAGGAACACCCAAAGCTTTTGCACTCGCTGCCGAAGTGAATGAGACACAACCAGGCTTCACTCCTCCTTTTGGGGACCACCTCGTGGCACCATCTTCAGAACTATTGGTTTCTCCGGCACTAAGAAGGCTTTGTTGCTCATCTTAAGGGGAATCTGCAGCAGGGTGAGAATCGAGAGAGCAATCAGCACATCAGTCAACCCATCTTAACATCAAGACCCCAGCAGAAGATCACAGGGGAGTTTCAATGTTTTGGTTTCCCTGGCTTAAATCAAAACATGCAGTATGATGCTATCTATGCCTTGGGCACTGGTGCCAGACATTGAAACTCCAAGTGTCATGCCCCTGGTCCCTTCCTTACACACACACACACACACACACACACACACACAACATCCAGCCTCCTCACCGGAGTTTCCTTGCAGACCCTGAAGGAAAAATGCTGCACCAGGATTGCAATGGCCACCTTCATCGTGACGAGAGCAAAGCGCATTCCCAAGCAGTTCCGGGGACCAGCTCCAAAGGGCAGGTATAGGTAGGGATCCACTTGATCCTTGTTCTCTTTGCTGAACCTGGTTGCATTCACAGAGATGAGAGAAATGGAGGCTGGGTAAGGAACCAGAACGGGCAGATCTGATGCCTTGATGGGAGAGGCAAAGGAAGAAGAAGGCCGCAGCTCAGGGCTCACAACAAGGGGACATTGCTCACCAGCAGCTGGTTCTCAGTTGCTCATCCTCAGCTGCATCCACCAGCTGAATCAAGTGGGGACGATGCTGCGTAGTGTCGCACAAATGGGGGTCATGAGTACAGTACCCACTGGTACCACCTATGGTGTCTGTGATGCAAAAGGTCCCTCAAGAGTCTGTTTGCTCTTCCTGCTCAGACCCTATTTACACTGTTTGAAGAAACCCCTTTCATTATGGCCAGGATGGAGCAAATCCCCACCCCCCATGGACTGGGCAGGTAGGGTGGAGGTGTGTCAGGAGGGAGGGAGTGCAGAGCCAGGGAGACACATGGCTGCCAACGCTGCTGCCACTGATGGCAGTGGAGATGCTTCTACTTGGCTTGGTGGCTCAGCAACCTTCCTGCTTAGCCAGGACAGCTGGCCAGGCCAAAAGGAGAAGGAGGCGCCACACAGCCCCAAAGGTAAGGTTACCAGACGTCCCCGTTTCCCATGGACAGTCCCCAGATTTACAAATCTGTCCCCTGACAAAATCCTATCATTCCGACTCATTTCAATGAAGTGTCCCAGATTCACTGAAAAAAATCTGGTAACCTTACCCAAAGGCCCGGCCAGGATTCAGCTTGCCTCCCTGTGGCTCTGGAAGGTGGCAGGACCTCAGCCAAGAGAGGGAGCCTGTTATAGGGGTGTCTGGATGCGCCCTTCTCAGGCTTTTGTGCCCGGGGGTCAGGATTGGATGCCAACCCTCCCATTCTGAATAGGGGAGGGCAATGCCTCCTTTCCCTGCCCCCACCAGATCAGCAGCTACTGGGTGGGGCAGGCATGGCTGGCAAGCACCATGAAAATAAACGCGCCGCAACAGACGTCTGCAGTTAGTCAGCACGCTTTGCATATGGTTAGAAGACACAGTAGTAAAGAGTGGCAGTGTGAAATGGATCAGCTCTTCTGAACAACAACAGCTTCCAAAAAGATTTTTGTGAACAAAACTAATAGACAAATGGAATAGTGTAAGGCAACAAAGCAAAAAGAAAGAGCAGGCAAAATGCAGCTGTCAACACACTGCTCAGCAATCAAATTGTAAACAAAGGCTTCCGGGTCACATGGCCAGCGTGACAAAGCTGCTCTGGCGAACCGGCACCAGAGCAGCGCACGGAAACGCCGTTTACCTTCCCGCCAGTAAGCGGTCCCTATTTATCTACTTGCACTTAATTGTGCTTTTGAACTGCTAGGTTGGCAGGCGCTGGGACCGAGCGACGGGAGCGCACCCCGCCGCGGGGATTCGAACCGCCGACCTTTCGATCAGCAAGTCCTAGGTGCTGAGGCGTTTACCCACAGCGCCACCTGCGTCCCTTTTTCGTTTGGTAATGAGTTGTAATTCAGCAACTTCTCTTTCAAGTGTATTTCTGGAACTCATTTGCAATAAGACAGCCACTTTAAGATCTTGTACAGAATGTCCTGGGAGACTGAAGTGTTCTCCTACTGGTTTCTCTGTTTTATGATTCCTAGGTAGGAGACAGGTTGAGGTAAAAGGAGTGAAGGGGAGAAAGAGTTGGTTCCAAACAAAAAGAAGAAAGAACTTCCGCTCTGAGCGTATTGTGAAGGACAACGTGTGGTGTCCTGTAGGAGGAATAGACCAGAATTTTACTGGGAGGCAGAGACTGAGGCAGGAGAAGGAGGAGCTGGAAAGGAACAGCCTCCTTGGGACTCAATCCAGTCCGGAGGGGAGAGATTCTTCTGAGGAAAAGAAGGAGCTCCCAGACCCAGTGAAGGGATGGCGTGTGAAGATCCCTTTGGTCTATTACTTCAAGTTCCTCAGGAGCAGGATTGTTAAAGGGGGTGGGTAGCTGAAAGAATGTATCACCTTATAAAGGAACCAACCTGCAGGCACGTACAAAGTCCATTTCGGGGGCCTAATCCAGCCCCTGTGGCAGTTTCATCAAATCTGGCCCTCTTTGAAAAACGTTTGGACACCACTGCGTATAACGCAACCAAAAACAACTGAGGTTCAGTTAAAGTGAAATAGCATTGCATTCCTGAAGTAACCTAAGTTTTTTTTCACTTGTGTTATATACTATCTTGCCTTAAATAAATCTTTAAAGAAAACCGGCCTGAGACTCCAATTTCCCAGGTTTCCCCTCACAACGGTCCCCCGTAGGATAATCTGGGTTAGAATTTTAAGGAGAAAAAAACCTTTGGGTAAATGGGGTGGGGGCAAATTATCTGAATGAGAACGGCTTGAGAGGGGAAAGTGCTGTTTCGCCCGTAGCATATTACTTGGTGGCAGCGCCACGATACGAAGTTAAAACCCACACAGAAACGTACCCAGAGACACAGAACAACCAGTTTAATAAAGTACTGAAGTTCTTTTATTAAAAGAAGGAAAATTTCCTGTCAGAAAATGACCAGCAAGCGGCAAGCAAAAGAGACTCGGGATGACCCAGTGCAGGGAGCTACTGCACCTGAGGAAAATCCTAGTACTGAGTTAGAAATGACAAGGTTAAGGTTAGAATTGGCTAAAGTTGAAGCAGAGAAAGAAAAGGCAAAATTAGCAGCTGAACAAGCCAGAACTGCAGCTGACATTCAGTTAGCACAGATACAGACTGAGAGAGATATGGCACAGAGAGAGAGCAGATTAGGAGGAAAAAGAGAAAGAAAGAGATGCCAGATTAGCCCAAGAATACAGGGAAAGGGAGGCCAAGATGGCCCATGAAAAAGATATGTTTCTTTTAAAAATGGAGGAAATTAAGCTGAGGGCAGAACTGCCCCAACCGTTGTTGGGGGGTGGAGATTTTATCTCAGCTAATATAAAGAGGTTTAAAAAGTAAGTAAAAGGTGATGATGTACCTATTTAGTTTTGAATGGACCTGTAAAGACTTAAATATTTCTGAGGAAAACTGGATGCTATACTTACACCCATAGGGATGTGGAATTTTGAGTGAAATATACTCAGTTCTAAGAGAAGATGAAACCTCTGGTTACCTCACATTTAAAGAGAGAGTGAAAGTGATGTCTGTTTTATTTTCACCTCCAGCCAGGCATCTGCAAAATGCTGATATCCTGGCTGGCATTGTGATGTTTGTATATGCCTTCATCACAGTTGAATTCTATTACAGTTTAATTGCTATGTTTCTATGTCTTGAGTCCCTGTCTAGAAAAAATGTGGGATATAAATAAATGTAATAAAATGGTGGTGATGTTGATGTCAGCAGCCCAGCTGAGGCTGAAATCAGGAGCAGCTGGTGATCTACTAGTGGTTGGGTAGATCTTGCACTCATGTCATTCGAACACGTGGCCTTTCATCAGGTGCACAACGCTTTTTGGAGGGGTTGGGGTTGGGAGGGTTACCTTTCAGGTCTGAATTCGTCTGGTTCCGGCCAGTGTTCGGGATCCCGGTGAAGCGTGTAAGGCGGGATAATCACACTCATGCCTTTCAAGATAGTCACCCCATTGATTTCTACATCTTTCTTGCAGGTCCTTTGCAGCCGTCCTCCAAGGGGATACATCCTTTGCGTTTCGCTGAGGACCATGTCAAGATATTCCAGTTGCATGATGGCATCGTACGTGAGAGGAGCCTTTGGGGGAATTCAAGGGGGAAGGTTAGCTGTAACCGGTGGGACCCTGAACCAGGCTCAGACAGAGACCTTCAGAAGGAAAGATCTCAGCTGAGGTGGCCTTATTCTGAGATTTCTGTCCATAAATATGACAATCTCCACGGGTTGCATTCAACCACTGGTGGAGGAAGGCGGATGCGGGGCATGCAGTACGCACCGGGTGTCAGCCATGAGGGGAGGTGACATTCCGCGCCAAACACACACAGACCCCGCTCGCTGCGCGGGTGGCAGGTGCTAGGGACGCTTGCTGTGTGGGCAGCTAGCCCCGCCCCTGCAGGCCAGCTAGCCCCGCCCCCGCAGCTCCAGGTGCCAAGGCAGGTAGCTTTGCCCCTGCATTCAACAGCTGCACAGGTGGTATGCAACTTATGCAACTGATGTGTTTCTCTCTCCACTTCCCCAATCTAACATGGCTCAGGTGCTAAGATCCTCAGTTGAGCCCCTTCTCTTGGATCATATCAAAATCAGAAGCCCAACTGGCAATGACTCAAGAGAGACAGGGCCTTTTCTGTGGCTGCTCTGAGATTGTACTATTCCCTCCCAAGAGGGGATAGACTGGCTCCCTCTCTGTCATCCCTCTGCCAGCAGGCTAAGACCTTCCAGTTCAAACAGGCCTTTGAAATCTAAGGTCCAGGTGATGCTGACCACTGGGCTGATGTCAGGGCAAACTGGATTTTAACTGCTGGTACTAAATTGTGTTTTGGTGTATTTTCGCTTTAGTTTCTAACTGGTTCATTTTTATTACTCCTCTGTCCCTGCCCCCCAAATTAGATAAATAACTCTCCTGTAACTTCCCTACCCCACCCAAAAAACCTTTTCCATTAGGTCTGGCCTCACCTTTGCAACCCACACATTCTTACCTTGTTGGGCAAGATGGTATCTATCTCATCTTGAAGCTTCTGCTGGACATCTGGGTGAGTGGCCAAGAGGTAGGCCGCATAACCCAGGGAGTTGCTGGTGGGTTCGTATCCAGCAAAGACAAAGATGAAGGACTGGGCCAGGATTTCAATGTCAGTCAAACCTGCAAACAAGCAGAAGTGAGAGAGTTCAAGTGTAAACAAGTACAGCCTGTAGTCTGGCTGGGAACATGATCCGTGCAGGTAACATGCATTGCAAGGCAAGGGGTTGCTGGAGGTATAAATGACTATCAGATTTTGAAAAGCTGGTCTCACAAGATCAAGTTCATGAGTTTTGTTGAATTAATTGAACTAAACCCTTTTAATGTGATTTTTCAATCAATGTGCAATCAAATGTTGCTGTTTTGAATTTTATTGTGTCATTGTCTGCCTTAGGGTGTTGTGCAAATCGCTATTTGGATAGTAATGCTTTTGAGAGGGGAGGAGGTACTGAGAATGAGTTTGTGGAATCAAGGGGGGGCAGTAAAAAAATGGGAATTCTGGGAACAGTCCTGCAGGCAACTTAAATAAGGTGGAAAGTGATATTCTGAGGCCTTTACCACTGAGTGTAATGACAAGGGAGAGTAGGGCCTTTTAGGTTGTGGCTCTCTTTCTGTGCAAAACTCTCCCCTGCAAGGTCTGCCAAGCACCTTCACTGACCTCTTTTTAACACCAGGAAAGGCTTCCCCCTGGCTTTTGATAGAATGAAATGATGCTTTGCTGCTACTGGTCTGCTGCCCAAGCTTCCTATGGCTGTTTATGGGACCTGCTTTGTTCTGTTTTGTGCTATAATATATTTATATTTAAAATATGCTGTGAGTCACTGAAAGATCAAACCTATCCATTTTTAAGGAAATCAGCCCTGAGTGCTCACTAGAAGGACAGATCCTGAAGCTGAGGCTCCAATACTTTGGCCACCTCCCTGGAAAAGACCCTAATGTTGGGAGAGATGGAGGGCACAAGGAGAAGGGGCGACAGAGGACGAGATGGTTGAACAGTGTTCTCAAAGCTACTAACATGAGTTTGACCAAACTGTGGGAGGCAGTGGAAGACAGGAGTGCCTGGCGTGCTCTGGTCCAGGGGGTCACGAAGAGTCGGACACGACTAAACAACAACAACAAAGTCACTTGGAGACCTTTGAGTTACAAGAGACTGAAAAGTCATTATCATCAACAGCATATGTAGTGTTAGAAGACTGTGTGGCGTTGGTTTGGAATCGTGTCTGTGGGTGCAGTCTTGTTTCTGGCATCCTTCTGTCTTGAGAGACGATGGAGTGTGCCTCTGGGGGTGAAGTCAAATCGCTGTATTTGCAGGACTGAAGTGACCCCTCCAGTACCCCAAGCCTGGGCAGTGTGTCTGGAGGTCCTGGGCTGCCCAGAAGACCAGAACCCTCCTCTTGGCCTTGCTGATGTCCAAAGGAAAGCAGAGCAAAACATTTGGCACCACCTTGGCTGCAGGACTTGCTGGAAGAAGGCGTACAAGGCACCATCCAATTGTCTTAGGGATTCCGCTCTGAATTTCTGTAGGGTTTACTCCTCAGCCTTTTCTTCTCCCAAAGATATCCCACCAAAGTTTAGGATCAGAGTTTTCCCACTCCTAGATGGGCTGCCTTCCCAGGTGGACGAGACCCATTTGCTCCTCACTTCCCTCTACAGCACATGCAGAAACTGTCGTAGGACACACTATTGGTCTCTTCCACTCAATCTGCTGGAGCCTGTCTTCAACTACCAGACTTTTAGAAGACATCTGAAGGCAGCCCTGTTTAGGGAAGCTTTTAATGTTTGGCAGACTATTGTATTTTAATATTTTGTTGGAAGCCGCCCAGAGTGGCTGGGGAAACCCAGCCAGATGGGCGGGGTATAAATAATAGCTTTATTATTATTATTATTAATATTATTATTATTATTCAGGTGCAAGTGAAGTTCCTAAGTCATCGAGGATTTGGGCAATTTCAACTCCTCAGGAAAGACAACTCGGGAACATGATCTGTGTAGGTAACATTCATTGCACTGCATTTTTCAAACTGGGATAGGCAATTTCAAGTCTTCAGGAAATACAACTTCCCTTCAGTTCAGTTAAATTGTGTGGCATTACCTTTATAGGAGTGGTTCAAGCCATTGCTCTGGTGGTCAGTCTTGGCACTTTGGGAGTCAATCATCAGCTGCAGGAAATCCACCCGGCCCTAACCAGAAAACAAATAAACCAGTGGAGGAAATGTGCGGCAGAGAGACTCCCATGGGGGCCACTGGGCCGAGATGGTTTGAAGCCCCTGGTTTTTTAAAGGGCTAAATACAGCCATGAGAACTGGCCCCCTTTGCCCTTGAGGACATTGGTTGTGAGATCATCTCACTGTACTTAGGCACAACTGGACATACTGAGGGGGTAAGAGAGTCAAGATATTAGGCTGTTTTGTGGAGCAAAAAGCAGTGAAGCAGCACAGAGAAAAGTTGAATCCTAGGGGATTTTTCAGTGAAAAATCACGCACACACACAACACACACACACAAAATGAAAGCCCTTTTCCAAGCCAACGATATTCATCCCCAAATTACGGCACAGTCTTAATTCTTACCTTTTGCCCTTCTTTCTGCCGTGTTTCCTTCATTTTTGCAAAGGACCTTGAAAAGAAGCTTAAAGCTTCTGCGTTGAATAAATTCACATTCATTAATTTGAGAAGAGGAGTCAGGAATGGAAACATGGCTGCAAGAGACAGAAATCGTACAGTGAACAGGAATTAACCTTCCTGAAGCAAAGCATTGGACTGAGGACTAACAGGTAAGTTACACCCTCTATTGTGAATGTGGGGCTGTCGTAACCCTACCTGGCCAACTCCCCTGGCAACGTCCCCCACAGCTGGGATTGGTTAATTGTTGATGCTAGGCGGGAACCTCCAGGTATCCAGCTGGGGGTGAGGGTGGGGGCAAAGCCAGTTCTTAGAATAATCCTCACAATATTTTAGATCCAAGTGCAGTCTAGAAAGAAATCCTATTTTGGAAAGGCCATCATGGCTCAATGGTCGACCCACATTTGGTCCTCGTGACCAGGCTGGGCTGGGAATGGCCCCTGTCAGAAACCCTGGAGGACCTAGTAGAAAAATCTGTAGAAAATTCTGTGCTTGATGGACCAGTTATTATGTTTCCATAATAACCAGACTGCAAACTTCCACTGGGCCATCAGAAATCAGAAGCCAACTTACCTATCAAAACGAAGCGTGGATCAAAAGATCCAAACTTGGTCACCTTCTTGATCTCCTTGACAAAAGGATCTGCAGGGTTGTTCATAGAGTCAATATTCACACCAAACGAAGTACTGGTGACGACATCCATGCTGTAGGCCCCAAAGATGCTGGGGAGGGAACAGAGCAGCCAAATCAGGCTCTCAGTATACAGTGGTACCTCGGGTTACATACGCTTCAGGTTACAGACTCCCCTAACCCAGAAATATTACCTCAGGTTAAGAACTTTGCTTCAGGATGAGAACAGAAATCATGCTCCGGCAGCGCGGCGGCAGCAGGAGGCCCCATTAGCTAAAGTGGTACCTCAAGTTAAGAACAGTTTCAGGTTGAGAACGGACCTCTGGAACGAATTAAGTACTTAACCCGAGGTACCACTGTACTTAGGATTTTCCATAGGCCTGTTTCTGGCCACCCAATGTGATCTGGATTCACCTCAAAGGCAGCCTACATTGTATGCTATGCTATTTTGGACTGAGGCCTTTCCTGGCTCAAACCACTTACTCCTTCATAACCACAAATTCATTCTTTTCCACTTTCTTCTGAACGTTTTGCATCAAAACCTCCCCGTAGTGTTTGATGATGGGAAACATCTGAAATACAAATCAATGAGCTGAGATGTAAACACCTATGGGCAATTTCAGACTGAACAGTTTGAATGGTGCTTGAACTGTACAACCCATATTTACCAGTGGAAGTGCTTAATACTTAATATCTTTTTCCTTTTTTTACCTCCTTGAGCTTCCCGCTGGTGAAGGTTGGAGAGAGAATAGTGCGAATCCTCTTCCATTGTTCGTCCTTTGCCAGTGAGACGGCAGACTTCAAGATCCCAACTAAATCTATATCCTAGAGGAAGCAAAACAGTTTGGAACCAATGAGTGGCAAAGTCAGGTTTTGAACTCATGACAGATGTGGAACCAATAATATCCAACAGCGAATTGTAAACGGAATAAACATGGAGGGCAGTGATGGCTGGGTGGCAAAGTTCACACTTGACTTTGGGAGAGGGATTAATCTGCCCTCCCCATTACCCCAGTTTGGTGCCAATGGAGTGACGTGTATGAACACTCCTCCTTCCATGATGCTATTGTACAGCTTAAGAAGTGAATGCCTACCCGACGGTTGGTGAAAGTGGTGTAACACTCTTTCACGAGGACAGCTTTTATAATAGCCGGATCCAGCGTAGCTAACATAGGCTTTCGGCCCTCGTAAATCCTGGATTAAGAGTAAAGAATGGTATGTTTTTGAGATCCCAAAGAGATCCAGTTGCAGATGTAGCATTTTCCTGCCCCAGAACATTTCCTCCTTGGGATCAAGCAATGGGATTTGGGCTAACATGAGAAATACAAGCAGGTCATAAAAGGTCACTTACCCCCAGGTCCTCCCATATTTCTGAAAGCACTCTGTATCAAAGTTGATAAACCCCTGTGGAAAGACATTTAAGAAAGTTAAGAACGGCCTTTCTGAACCGGATTAAGGCTCATTTTGAGGAGCACCTCTGATCCCAAGAGGGGGGAGCAGAAAGGGGCCTCAGGAAACCTCTTGAGCAGGGCAGGAATGTCAGCAGACACTCACCTTACGATAGGACCAGATATTTCCAAAGAAAGGCAACGGCGATGGACCTGGAATGCCCAGTTTCTTGAAGACGCCATACGGCCAAAATCCATATCTGTTTATTTTGTAAAACGAGAGAGAGAGAGAGATGCAAATCTGTCAGCAGAGCATGAAAGCCTGTCCAGGGTTCAGAGGGGAAACCTGGCAGGTTGATGCGCCTGTGTGTGGGCTCCTCCTGTTAAAAAATCCCACAAGGAACTGACATGAGCACCACAGGGCAAAAAAATTGGCACACATGAGTTTGATTAACTTTGTTGTTACATTAAGAGTCTTTTTAACCAGTGGGTTTGTTTTTTTCTTAAAAATGTTTAGGAGTACTCTCATTTTGACTCAAGAAAATCACCATTTTATAGTTCAAATCAGGAAAGATAAATACAGTAAATGGGCAAAAGTACAAAGATGCACAAAATGTTTAGGGGAATATGTACCCCTGCATTCCCCCAGAAAAAAGCACTGTTTTTACAATGAGAAAAGTCATTCTGCAATTAAAGTTGCCAGAAAACAAGGGAGGGATTTGTGGGCCCCACCTCACTAAGCTTTAAACCGGGGGTTGATGTGGGCAGAAAGCAACTGGCCTGCAAAGCTCCTTCAATGAAATCACCCACCAATTCCTAGAGATCTACTTGCTGCACACCCTGCTCTGCAATATATACAGCAATAAACAGGCTCCAAAGTCCACCAGCTGATCTCTCCCCTGAAAATCCAGATCTTTCCTTCCCTGTTCTGTTTGTCTTTAGCAAACACCCTTGGTTTTTTGCTGTACTTTAAAAGGAACATTATTTTTATATTTGCATGTGTGAGTGTTGAGTTATATGTGAAAAGATGAAAATGTCAAGCTCAGCATCTCACCTTCCCCTCCCAGCTTGAAGGCATAGCTGAGATCAGAATAAAAACAGGAGAGTTCATAAGCCCTGGAGCAGAAAGAGTCCAATCGTTGCTGCTGTCCAGGGCTGTTTTTCTAGAAAAAGAGATGCTGGAACTCACCAGGAACCTTCTCTTAGGTGCCCACCTGACAGGTGCCAGAACCGACTGAGAGGTGGCGGGACTGAGTTCCTGGGAGTTCCCCCTGGGGAAAAAGCCCTGCTGCTGTCAATATAAAGGGAAGTGTTAGCACGGCCGCATAATATGAAATGTGACAGGTACACTTTGTCCTGCAGTCTTTGTTCTTGGGCAGAATAAACAGCCACTAGTCTGCTTTAAAAGTCGTTCAGGGTGGGGGGGATGCTGGTTGCCCTCACAAATTGTTTGCATCCATTTTCCACAAAGTGCCATCTCCCAAATTATGTGATACCATTTTTGGTACATTGGTACCTTTTGCTTCTTTTCAATCTCCGGCTATCAATATTCTTGCTGCTGTTAAAGATCGTGAGAACCAGACATTGACCTTGAACAAGAATGTGCCCAGAAGAAGCCTTAGTGATTGCTTTTTGCAAGACAAGCGCTTTATTGGAACAGCTACATGAGAAGATGGATTTGATGACTGTTGCAGTTAATAATTTTGGACAAACAGTGAATACCTATGTAGAAACCACTCAGGAACCGACCCAGGAATCTGCTTTGACAGGGCAAGTTGTGCAGAAGACAAAGGAGGAGGTTGCTGTTGAACCTCAAGAAATACATGTGGAGAGAGCCGAGGCTTTGCAGGAACATAAGCTGTTGTTTTTGATGACCGAACCTGGAGAAAGTCAGATTTGGAGAGATGGAGTCTCGTTTGGATTGGAGATGGGAAATTGGATAGATCCCCCTATGCAGGGCTGTTCTGGCTTCTGGGATCTGGTTTTGCGCCAGGGGGAGTCTGGAGTTGTGGGGGCCTTTAACTTTGGAGGGACTTTGAAACATGCCTTGAAATATCTTTTGGATTTTAGTGCTGACTATGGAGAATGGGCCGACCTGTCGAGAAGGGATAAAGACATTGTTAGGTTGGAGTCTCCCCGAGATCTACTCCTCAGCGATAAAGGAAGGAAACTAAGAACAAGATCAGCAGAAGACAAAGTAAGGTGCAGGTATAAATATGAAGAAGACCTGCAGAAGGGACATGGAAAAGAGTTAAGAGCCTCGGATAGAAGATCACCAGGTTGATGGACTAAATGGAATGGATAGAAAGGACTGACAGAACCCGAGACCAGGAAGAAGAGACGGTGGTTGAAGATTGGAAGAAAGTTTAAAAATTCATTTAGAGAAATATTGTAAAATTAATGAGTGTTAGAAAAAATGTTGGAATGAAACTATTTGGCTTTAGTAGAAATGCTATAAGGAGTTATGTACAAATAAGTTTTAAGCTTTAGGGCTTTTTATGGCAAGATAAGGTTAAAATAAATTAAGATAAATTATAGAACAAAAATTGAGAAAGATGGAAAGGATTTGCTGAAATAGCTAATTGAACAAGAATACAAAAAAGGGAGGTGTGAGGAGGTCGATGATACAAGTAAATGAAAGGTAGAGATATAGAGATATTGGATGTGGGTTTTTTTAAAATGTTTTTGCTTTTCTTGTTGTTTTGTTGTATTGGTTTTTTGTTTTTTTCTCTTTATTTTTGATGTATTGTGAACTTTTCACTGTTTCTTTCTTCTTTTTTCTGTAACTATTAAACTTTTAATAAATACCTTTTTTTAAAAAAAAAATTTATTAATAAATCAAAGATAAAGAGCAAAAGAAATACTGTCGCAGGAAGTTGAAAGCAGCAGAAGCAGATATTCTTTTTTTAAAAAAAATTAACTGTGGGATACAATTAAATCAGAAACAGAAAGCAAACACACAAACACACACATGCTGAGTTCTATTCATATTGGGTTGCAACCATTGCTGGTCCTCCTGAGAGCAGACTCGTAGAAACTAAAGGACGTGACTTAGATCTATTAATTCCAGAGGGTCTACTCTGACTGAAAGTTGGTTGGATACAACACAGAGAGCCCAACAACAGAGTAATTACATTCTGGGTAGCAAAGAGCTGGGTAGCAAAAGCTCATCCCACCTCCCGCCCTCCGTAATGGCTATAGTATTCAATTAGATTGCTATAATGTTCTTTACATGGCTGTGTCCATGAAAGCAGTTTAGAAAATTCCATCAGCCCAGTGATAGCCAGAAGTGTTTTGTTGATGGCCAGCTGATCAAACCGCATGAGGTCAACCTTTCATCAATCTCCAGAGTTGTCACCTTCTTCCCTAGTTTTAAGCTTTAAAGGCCTCGCAGTCCTGGGCTAGATAGAGTGGGTTAGGAATTGGCTGCTTCTGCCCAAGAACTTTGTCCTGTGTCTCCATTCCTTCTCTCTGTCCCTCAGCTGCTGAGGACCACTTCGGAGGTGAGTGCCAAATGACAGCTTTTGCTTCATGATTGTATAGAAGATAAGGCTACTATTAGTGCATACAATATGCTGTGCTTCTAGAGCTGCTTCTACAACCCAACCATATGCAAGCTTCCTTGGAAGTAAATATCCTAGCAGTTCAGAGGCTGCTATCTCTTATGGCTTTCAGAAGAAGAAGCAGATTTAAAACGCCCCCATTTCTTTTTCACAATTAGAAAACGGCCAAAGAAACAAGAAGAGAATGATACATACAGCATGAAAAGGACCAGAAGGGCAATGAGAAGGAACCATGTCTCAGTGGAGAAGCTTGGAAGGAGATCCATTTTGTTAGCCCTTGATGACTCTCTGGCTTTGAATGTGGATTCTGCCCTCTTTATACTTGTTCAGGGCTGGAGCTCAAACAGCAAAAACAAAAATTTCGCAATAGTTTTTGCTATCCATTCAACTTTGTTCTGATGACTGGCTGCCTCAGATCAAGTTTGCTTTGTTTGCTGTGAAAAGAGGGCAGTGAGTTCTGCTTTCACAGAAGAGGCAAAGACTGAGAGAGAGGGTGTGTTGCCTTGGCTGCCTTCTTATGTAAAAACATCTCCTGCCAAGCGCTCCAGGAGATGCATGATGTCATCTTCTGATTCCTTTTACTACAGAACAGCTTTCGCTCACCTGGTGCCCTTCAGATCTCTGAAAAACGAAGGGGCTGTATCATTTGGCCGCCTTTTATGGGGTACAGTTGCCTTATCAAAGTGCCTGGAAGATGGAGCAAGATTGCTTTCTGCTGCTCTGGAGGTGAGCACCCAAACTGATGGATTCAAGTTACAAGAAAGGAAATTCCTTTGAAACCTTAGGGAGAATGTTTTGACTGCAAGAACTGTTTGACAGTGGAACAGTGGAACAGTCTCCCTCCAAAGGTGGTGGACTCTCCTTCCTTGGAGGCTTTCCCAACAGAGGTTGCATAACTATAACGTGGATATTTAAATGCACCCTGAACAACACGTGTTATTTGCAACAGGAGGGAAAAATCCCCTGGCTTCTTCAGCAGTCTGCTTTATCTCTGCCTCTTGGTCCACCTCCTCTCCAGCCTCTGCGTCTGCCTCCACTTCTGGACTGCTCTCTGCCACAGCCTCTTCCTGCTCACTAAACCCTGTTGCCTCTTCCGCTTCTGACACCTCCTCCTCCCATTCAGCTCCCTCCTCTCCCTCTGACTACTCATCTTCATGCCACCACTGATCCCCTGGCTCTGAGCTTCCTTCCCTGGGGGTTTCCTTGGGGTCTCCCCAGCTGGTGCCTTCCCCCCCCTCCTCTGCATCCAGCCAGTCCATGACATCATGGCATGGTATTCTGGGACCAATGGAGGATACTAGTTGTTTTTCCTTTATAGCCAACACACAATCTAGCTCTCCATTTGAAATGCTTCATAATAAACTGCTTCCATTCCAAAAACAAAAGTTCAATGCAGATTGGTTCTGCAATTCCCCACAGTGTGTCAATTTGAAAAAAAGATGTAGGTAGTCTCACCCATGTGGTGTGTGTACCCAGACCTGCCCAATGGCATTGTGGGTAGGCCTATACCAATAATGCAATCACCGCTTTCTCCTTCATTCATCTGGGTTGTGTCAGGGAGGGAGAGGTGTAGATTATTTCTTCAAAGGGTGGTTTCAAATGCTTATCAATAACCATCTTGAATCAGATAGGAGGGGTACAAATAATAAAATTATTATGATGATTTAATAGCTTGAGAGCAGCATGTTGAAGACGACCATGAACGATTCTGAATTGAGAAAAAACTACATTTTTGTGCTACAAATGGGTTTGTGTTCCTGCAGCTAAAGGCTACCGTAGTACGTTATACTCTGCAAAAGGGAGATCGTTCAAAATACATTTCCAAGGTTGTATCCTGGGAACAAGTGCTGTGGTCATATTACACAGGTGTTTTTCCAATGGCAACTACTTCTGAGTTGTTTCCAGGTTGACTTCATCACACTGCAAGGCGTCATGAAGGGCAATATGCAAATTTAATAAACAAAATAAGTAAACTAAATCTTGGCAAACCTGGATAGAATGAAAGCATTTTAGTTTTTCCTGTACAGAACACATCTTTTAATGTTACTTTCACAAAGATACACATTTTTGCTTGAATTCTTCACTGACGATGCACTAATGACACCCATTAGGGAGGGGTGATCACCGTCATGTCCTTCAGGATAGTCACCCCATTGATTTCTACATCTTTCTTGCAGGTCCTTTCAATCCATCCTCCAATGGGATACAGCCTTTGCGTTTCACTCAGGACCATGTCAAGATATTCCAGTTGCATGATGGCATCGTATGTGAGAGGAGCCTTTGGGGTGATTCAAGGGGGAAGGTTAGCTGTAACCGGTGGGACCCTGAACCAGCCTGACACAGAGACCTTCAGAGGGAAAGATCTCAGTTGAGGTGGCCTTGTTCTGAGATTTCTGTCCATGAATGTGAAAATCTCCGTGTGTTGCATTCAACAGCTGCACAGGCAGCTTACGTGTCAATGACACTTGCCAGTCAAGGAATGCACACGGCAGAGACTTAACTCTTTATTGTCAAAGGTAACACAGTTTCTTCCAAAGCTCTGGATACCCACACATTCCCATCTAGAATCTGTGGGATATAATCCACTAAGAACAATCTAGTAAAACATTCCTTGTTTTCCTAGAGTGGACGTGCAAGGGGATGTTTGGTCCAGCCAGTCAGAACTTCCCGTTCCTCCTGGCCTGCGGCATCTTTACTTGCATGTGACTAGTGGGTGGGCGTGTAAAAGGAAAAGGCAAGCTGCCACTCTCTTTCTTTTCCATCTTCCTTTCATCCTGTGAACTGCTGGACTCCTAGCCTGCAGTCACTAGGTAAATCTCCCTTATGGGGTAAACCTGTTTGTATATGTTTGGAACTTGAAGCCTTAGGCCTGCCTTCAGGGATCACACTGTGCTCTGCCTGATCATGAGTAAACTTTCTTTTTGTTACTTATGAATAAGACTGTGGTGTCTTTATTCTTTTAGGAGGGATTCAAGGGGCCTTACCAGGAAAATATTAGAACACCTTTCAATCTGGACAAGCCAGATTGAATTGTGTATTGCCTTAAGAAACTCACACGAGTTTGCAACAAGTTTTCTGCTGCGTGAGAAGGGGGATGTGAAACTCTGCTAAGTAAAGGAACTTGCTGGTGCAAGTTAGGATGGATATCAATAAACAAGAAAGCCTCTCCTGCCACCCTGAACATTCCCATAGAATCTAGGCAGCTATTCCCAAATCTGAGTACAATGGAGCAGCTGCAGCAACAAGGGGCGCTCCCCCTCCACCTATTTATGGGACCCTATGGTCTGCACACAAAGCCATGAAGATTTTCCTGCATGGAAGCCTCCTCTGCCTCCTCCTCTCTGGGAGACAGTGGTGCAGGAGAAGGTGGGGAAGCACCTGGCCCTTGGCTTGCCTGGCCTGCCTCTTCCTCCAGCTCTGAAGCTTCCCCTGCCTCCACCTCTTGCCCCCTGGCTGGTACAGGTTGCCACCTTAAGGTGCTAAGATCCCCAGGTGAGCACCTTCTTTCAGTCCCATCAATATCAGAAGTGTGGTTCATGGAGTAATATTCAAATGGGCGCAAGATGTAGGACATAATATGCAATTTCAAGACTGGATAAAATTGTGGAAAGTAAATTTGAAATTTACAGATTGTATATTATTGAGAGAGAATTATATGAAAATGATGTATAGATGGTATTTATCACCGGTTAAATTGGCAAAAATGTATAAAAACAAAAAGAAAGAGTGTTGGAGATGTGAAACAGAAGGTATGTTTTATCAAATATGGTGGGATTGTAAAAAAGTAAAAGCCTACTGGGAAATGATATACAATGAATTGAAGAAAATGTTGAAAATAACTTTCGTAAAAAAAACCAGAAGCCTTTTTGCTAGGTATTTTAGGCCAAGACATACCAACAGAAATGAGGACTTTATTTAGTCCTCTACACTACAGCAGACTACAGTCCCCCACCAAAGCAGCAAGAATGTTGATTGCACAAAATTGGAAGACTGGAGAAATACCAACTAAAGAACAATGGCAAGAGAAGTTGATGAACTATGCAGAACTGGCAAAAATGACAGAAAGGCTAAGAGAAAAAGACAACAGCGACTTTGAAAAAGAATGGGAACCATTTATATTATATTTGTAGAAACAAAGAAAATCAATAGACTTGATGGCAGGATTTAAATAAACATTCACATTATTAGTACTAGAAAATGTTTAGAAGATAGTGAAATATTATGGTGTGTTTACCTTTTATTTTCATGTTTTAAGGCTTGATGTTATCTTATTAATAATTTTTTCTGTTAGGAGATAGCAAAGTGGGTGAAAAGAGAAACAAACCAGAAGCGGAAGTTGGGGGAAGCCCTGGAGGGGGGGGAGGGAGGAAGGCATAGTAAATGTTAAGAATTTGAGATGTATGTAATGAATGAAAAAGAAAAATGAATAAAAAAATTTTTGTGGGTTCATGGAGAGCCTTTTCTGTGGCTGCTCCCAGATTGTGGGATCCCCTCCTGAGAGGTCAGACTGGCTCCCTCTCTGTCATCCCTACGCCAGGAAGCTAAAGTGGTGTAGCCCTTTTTCACAAGGACTGCTTTTGTAATAGCCGAATCCAGTATGGCTAATATAGGTTGTCGGTCCTCGTAAATCCTGGATTAAGAGTAAGGAAGAAAATGGTTTGGGGTTTTTTTAGCAGGAGACGCCAAAACACAGGTGCACCAACCTGGAGGAAAAGGTGTGCTATGGATGCAATAAATAAGTAATAACAATGATATATCTACACCACAGATTTAAGCTGGTTTAATCGCTTGCTCCTTCTCTCCAGGGTACCTGTTCTCTATGAGAGGATTCTTCACGCGCTCCCTGAACCATAAGCTTACTGCGTAAACTGATCAGGACCTCAATGCATGGAGAGGAGGAATTAATCATATTTAATTGCTTTGTGTACACCGCTTGAGAGATATATCTTTTTTCATTATGCAGAATACAAATGCTTCTCGATAAATAAATAAAATAATGGATGATATCTGCAGTGATCTGCAATGAACATAGTCACGTGACGTCTTAAGACAAAGAGCACACAGAAGTGCAGCTGAAATCCTCTCGTTCAGGTATTCATAACTGCTGAACTTTAGCCTGTCCTTCTCCCCGACGTGCATCATTCAACGGAGGAGTCTTTCTCTCTGGAGAAGACCCAGCCCAGTGGAAGTGGGGCAGCCCAGAATCCCACTGCCTTATTCTGCAATTAGAGTTGCCACAACTTTATCTATAGCAAACACCCTTGTGTTTGTGTGTTTTTGCTGTACTTTAAAAAAAAAAATCATTATTTTTATTCTTGCATGTGTGTGTATGTTGTTATATGTGAAAAGATGAAAATGCCAAACTCAGCATCTCACCTTCCCCTCCCAACCTGAAGGCATGTTGTTGTTGTTGTTGTGTAGTCGTTTAGTCGTGTCCGACTCTTCGTGAACCCCTGGACCAGAGCACGCCAGGCACTCCTGTCTTCCACTGCCTCCCATGGTTTGGTCAAACTCATGCTGGTAGCTTCGAGAACACTGTCCAACCATCTCGTCCTCTGTCGTCCCCTTCTCCTTGTGCCCTCCATCTTTCCCAACATCAGGGTCTTTTCCAGGGAGTCTTCTCTTCTCACGCAGTGGCCAAAGTCTTGGAGCCTCAGCTTCAGGATCTGTCCTTCCAGTGAGCACTCAGGGCTGATTTCCTTCAGAATGGAGAGGTTTGATCTTCTTGCAGTCCACGGGACTCTCAAGAGTCTCCTCCAGCACCATAATTCAAAAGCATCAATTCTTCGGCGATCAGCCTTCTTTATGGTCCAGCTCTCACTTCCATACATCACTGCTGGGAAAACCATAGCTTTAACTATACGGACCTTTGTTGGCAAGGTGAGATCAAAATAAAAACAGGAGAGTTCATAAGCCCTGGAGCAGAAAGAGTCCAATCGTTGCTGCTGTCCAGGGCTGATTTTCTAGAAAAAGAGATGATGGAACTCACCAGGAATTTCTCTTAGGTGCCAAACTGACAGGTGCCAGAACCCACCTGAGAGGTGGTGGAACTGAGTTCCTGGGAGTTCCCCCTGGGAAAAAGCCCTGCTGCAGTCAATATAAAGGGAAGTGTTAGCACAGCCGCATAATACGAAATGTGACAGGTACACTTTGTCCTGCAGTCTTTGTTCTTGGGCAGAATAAACAGCCACTAGTCTGCTTTAAAAGTCGTTCAGGGTGGGGGGGATGCTGGTTGCCCTCACAAATTGTTTGCATCCATTTTTCACAAAGTGCCATCTCCCAAATTATGTGATACCGTTTTTGGTACATTGGTACCCTTCACTTCTTTTCAATCTCTGGCTATCAATATTCTTGCTGCCGTTAATAAGTAACCTATTATATAATGACCTTGGGTTGCCCTGGCTGAATATACCTAACATTGTAATTTCTGGGTTTTTTGTTTGTTTTTTGTTTAACTGAATTAAAACTCTCGCATGGCTTTTTAAAAAAATAACAACCTGTTCCTACCGTGTTTGTTTGAATTTCTATTCTCTTTCAGGGCTGGAGCTCAAAGGACAAAAATTAAAATTTCACAATATCTTTTGCGATCTGTTCACCTTTGCTCTGATGTCTGGCAGGCTGACTCCGAACAAGCTTGCTATGTTTGATGTGAAAAGAGGCCAGGAGAGTTCTGCTTGTCACAGAGGTGAAATTGGAGAGAGGGTGTCTTGTCTCAGGTGCCTTCTTGCCAGTAGCATGCGGTGAAATTTTTCGGGGGGGGGGGGACTGTTAGGGCCAGAGGTGCCAGCTTGCAAGGACAATGCAGGAGGGGCATTTTTTGAAGATTTTATTGCTGACCTATTCTTAACATCCAATGCCATTGTGGATGTCTCTATGCCAAGACCACAACCACAGCTTTCTTCTTCATTCACCTTGGTTGTGCTCAGGAAGGAAAAGGTTGCAGTTTATTTCATCAAGAGAAGGGTTTTCAAATGTATACACTCACACCCTTATGGAAGCCAGGATTAAGAACCGGTCTAGATGGAAAGCAGCATTTTGAGGCTAAGCGTGAGTGATTCCAGATTGAGGAAAACCACATTTTGGTGCTACAAATGAGGATGTGTGCATGCAGCCAAAGGCTACTGGAGCATGCTATATGGTGCAACAAGGAGGTCACAGAAAATCACAGGTTGCTTCCACGGCACAGAGACGCTCGTACCATCTTAGACTGATGTGCCAGCTACAACCCAACTGGTCTCTGTTGTTCATGCTCTTGTAGCCATGAAATTAGGGTTTGTTCACACGGCCCCCGATTCAAAATATTGAGGGGGCAGGAGTACCAAGCACCCCCTATACCAGGCGTCAGTGTACTGTAGTGTATATTGTGCCAAAGGCAGATCACATTACACGGGTCTTTCACCAACTGCAACTACTGCTTCTGAGCTGTTTCCAGACCCAGTTTAACACACTGTTAGGTGACTCTAACAACTCAACAAACTACAGAATGTGAAAGCTGAAACCTGCATTTAACAAGAGAAGTTCAATCTACTAAACCACAGCAGATCTTATTTCTCTCCAGAGTGGTATTTAAATTGGGTTTGCACTGGTGGATGGGTCCTGTTTCTGCAAGAGCATTTCCTCACACAAAGTTTTGAAAGAATGCATCTGAGTCACAGGGACCCAAATAAATCACATTACCCAGGACTGTGATGTGTGTCAATTCTAGGAAGGGGTTTTTGCAATCCTGGCCTGCACCGACTGAGTTTCCTGTCATTCAGTGGTCATGATTTGATGCCATAGTGGTTCTTTCTTCCCAAGCAACCCTGAGGAATTCAAGTTGCATGTGCTCTGTATGGATCCCTTAACGAAAGCTCCTCAGCACCCTCCCCAAACTACAGTTCCCAGAATTCCATGGGGGAAGCCAAGACTGGTAAACTGGTCTCAGACTGCTACAAAATTGTAGCCTGGGCATGCTCCAATTAATCATCATTGATGATCTGGTTTTAAAGGGGGGCTTTTTAAATCTACTTTATAGTACAAGAATTTTCAAGATGCCTTGCAACCAAATATATATAATATTGTTTTAAAAAGTCTCCAAAACAGCCTTGAAATAATAGAAGCGACAGATCAGGCAAATAAAGGAATGTTAGGGGATGGAAAAATCTGAGAATTTAGGTTTCCCACTTTCTTACGTGTGCTTTACCCCATTTCCACAGAGGGGTTTGCATGAACATTTGTACATATTTCTGGTCCCCTTTCTCCTAGTAGACACACTTTTGTATGAATGTTTCACAGTGCAAATATTTTGGCAAGCCTGAATACAATGCAAGCATTTTGGTTTTTCCTTAATGGAACACATCTTTTAATGCTACTTTCACCAAGATACACATTTTTGGCGATGTACTAATGACTCCCATTTTGTGTGCATTTTTTGGCTGGAAAACCACAGTGCCAAATTCAGAGATGCACGAATTTTCAGAGAGCTCTGTTTCAGTTTGCGTATCGGTCCAATTCTCTGGAACTATCTGAAGTTTTTGCAGAGGGGGAACTTCTCAAAGCAACACCTGAGGCTTCTGCATCTTCTACCAAGGTCCAGGGCCAGGCTTCACTCCCCCTTCTCCCGGGGATCACCTCGTGGCACCAGCTTCAGAACTATTGGTTTCTTTGGCACTAAGAAGGCTTCGTTGCTCATCTCCAGAGGAATCTGCAGCAGGATGAAAAGGGAAAGAGAGCACTTAGGAAACCATTAGACCCAGCTTAAGCACCAGCAAATCTTGACAGCAAGGGTGGGGGTCCTGCTATGTTCCAGAAGTGGTTGGGCTCTAATTCCCTTCAGCCCCGGGTCCCATGGCTAATGGTTAGGGACCATGGGAAGTTGGGTCTAACAGCACCTGAGAGTCCTCCAGAGAAACCCACCCCTGATTTGTAGGATCACAGTCTTATGGTGTGAAGGGAATGTTAGGAAGAGCTTTCTGAAAATAAGGGTCGCTCGGAAGGTGTCAGGTGTGCGTTCAGGAGCCAGGCCCTGTGACCAATAGGACTTTGCAGGAGTGGAGCCTTCCTAAGTTTGTTCTGAAGGGGCAAGGCGTGGCCTCACAGGTGAGGCCCATTGGTAACTCACAGCACCTGGTGGCAAGAGCTGGGAAGGGATATAAGGTCAGCATTTCCCTTCGGCTCTTTGCCACAGCAACACGCTTCCTGCCTGTTTGGGTTCTTGCTTCCTGATCCTTGAACCTCAGCTTCTTGACTCCCTGCTTCCTGACCCTTGGACCCCTGACTTCATAACTCCTTGCTTCCTGACCCTCAGACCCTTGGCTTCCTGACTCCTGGCTTCTGGACCCCCGTTCCTGCTCCCACCCCGCCATCTTGCCCCTGGTCCTGACGTCCCCTGCCGGGACTTCGATCGCCCTTGAACCGGACCAGGAGATAACCTGCAATTTAGTAAGTGGGGGGAAGGAAGGAAGGAAGGAAGGAAGGAAGGAAGGAAGGAAGGAAGGAAGGAAACGGCCTGGTGCATCTGCAGCAGTATAACCGGACAACTTCATCCGCCCTGACTGCAATACAGCATGTCTCTCCTGTATCAGTCTCTACAGCCACAGCAGGCGCTGCAACTCTTCAGTGGTTTGACTTCACCCCCCAAGGCACACTCCTCCATTGTCTCCCGAGACAGACGGATGCCAACCAACAAAACAAATTGATGGCCGGAGAGCTACTGATGGCCACTAGCCATGGTGGCTTTGCGCCATCTCCACAGTTGGAAGCAGCCGTGCTTCTGAATAGCAGCTGATGGAAACCACAGGAGGGGAGAATGGTCTTGTGCTCGAATCCTGCATGCTGGCTTCCCACAGGCAACCCTTTGGCCATTGTGAGAACAGGATGCTGGACTAGATGGGCCACTGGCCTGATGCAGCTGGATCTTATGTTCTTATGTCACCCAGTGAGTTTTTGTGGCTGAGTGGGGATTCAAACCCTGCTCTCCCAGGTCACCCAAGCCCTAGTCCATCACTCTAACCACTACACCAGGGGTTCCCAACCTTTTTGATGTGACAAGCTCCAAGCTCAAATTAACCTAGTACGGTGGCCCAACATTTTATTGTCACATGAATTTGGATCTCTCGCCTTCAACAGTGCTCAGTTTCATGCAGTTTAACTGCAATGTTTGCCTGTTTATAACTTGAGGCATCCAAACTAAGCATTCTTCAGCATTCCTATTAATATAGACTTGGTTGAACGATTCGTTGCGCTTACAAAGTTACCCACTCTCTTGTTTATGGGAATGTAGTAACAGCAACCTTCCAATGGCAGGATACTGCTTTATAAGTTATACAAATGCATTCTGCAAATGGATGATTATGCAAGCAGTGTTAAAGCACTATAAATACTTTTCATACTTGTGTTCATGCTAACGTCCATCAATTTTGGCAAGACTCCGTGGGATGACTGACCTCATGTTTTGCCGAGGAGGAGGACAATGTGGAGTTCAGTGGTTGTCAGACATGGTCTCAGATCATCGTCGATGCGTAGAGCGAAGACGTTATTTCTTCTTTCGACTCAGCAAACTTTAAATTGCCCTCAACTTATCTATTAAATAATCCCAGTGGCAGATGCGGTGATGGTTTGATTCTGCACCAGAGTTGCAAAGACTTCACAGGTGCTGCTTTCAGCACCTGCGCATCAGAGGCGAGCTGTAAAGCCGCTCCAAACAACTCCCCATGTGAGCACCATGTGGCAAACTCTCCCTGGATGTGCCACCAGAGAGCAGTTCCCAAGTGCAGAAACGTAAGACTCAGGCCTTTCTAAAATTCGGTAAATGTGGTTTTTAAAGAAATCCATACAATGTTGAATTGTTATAATACCCGTTCTCCCCAGCTTGCGCTTTTATCTATTTTGGGAGAAGCTGGTCTTAATATACTGTACTTACCTATAATATACTTAATATACTGAACTTAAGATATTAGAGCCACAGTGGCTCATTTTTGGAGACATCCAAATGGAGCCAACATTTCTTTTTAGTATTCCAATATTTGGGAACTTCCTTGATAAGTTGACCAACAAACTACACATTTCCAGGGGGCAATGTGAAGAGGATAGATTCACAAAGGTTTGGTTTGATTTCATTACTTATGTCAATAAGAAAAATGTGGTCTGTCGCCTCCCTCAGCTTATCAACGGGTTTAATTGATTCAATAATATATTATATTATTCCTCTTTAAGATTCATCCCACCCATGACAATAATGAGTTTTATTTCATTCTCTGTTTAAAGGTATACTCAGCCTTTTATTTTTATTCTAGCAGCCTGGTGCACATTTCTGCTTTTGTTGTTAGCCCAAAGAAATAATAATAATTTAAAAAAAGCAGAGCATTGTAATACACCAATAAAACAAAAAGTTGTAAGAGGCATTCATCATAGCAGTGAAGGATTAAAAGCAGTCATTATTTGGGGTTTAATTACAGAGCCAGTGATAAACTTGCACAGGCTGCAGGTTACAGCATAGGGGCAGGGGCAGAGGAAGGGGGGTGCGGTGGGGGCAGGTCATCCCGGGTGTCACCACTGAGGGGGGTGACAAAATGTCAGGCGGCACTCACCGCGGGGCCTGCAGCAGAGCCAAGGCATATGTCTCTCCTGGGAGTGACGCGGTGGCTTGGGCGCCCGCTGCCCCAAACGGTCCTCGCGCCACCTTCCCCTGAGCTATAGGGCGGCTGAGTGGGAGGAGGCAGGAAGACTCCTTGGAGGCTCCACAGAGTGTTCTGCCCTGGCTGGCCCCGCCCCTGGGCGCAAGGCACGCATGTCACCCCAGGCGCCCAATCAGCTTGCTCCGCCACCTCATAGGGGTAGGAAAACACAAGTGGCAGAGTTTCTTAAATGCAGGATCCCCTACAGTCGCCCCAGGTGAAGACAATGTCCATCTTGCTCCTTTTCCCAAATTGCATTATACAGTCATACCTCAGATTACAGATGCTTCAGGTTGCGCGATTTCGGGTTGCACACCGCGCTGAACCCGGAAGTACCGGGACAGGTTACTTCCTGGTTTTGGCACTTGCACATGCGCAGTAGTGCTAAATCACACTTTGTGCATGCGCAGAAGCACCGAACCACAACCCGCGTGTGCACAGACGCAGAGCTGCGGGTTGCAGACACTGTGGGTTGCGGATGTGCTTCCCGCACGGATCATGTTCGCAACCCGAGCATCCACTGTAGTTCCTGTTACCTTACGGCCACCCACTTCTCCGAAGGAAAAGGCTCTTGCATAACAGGAGAAGATGGAGGAGATCAAGACAAGATCAGGAAAACCTCCCCCTCCCTTTCCACGCACACACAGTGGTGTGCCAGACATCCAGCCTCCTCACCGGCGTTTCCCTGCAGACCCTGAAGGAAAAATGCTGCATCAAGATTGCAATGGCCACCTTCATCGTGACGAGAGCAAAGCGCATTCCCAGGCAGTTCCGGGGACCAGCTCCAAAGGGCAGGTACGTGTAGGGATCTATTTTGTCCTTGTTCTCTTTGCTGAACCTGGTTGCATTCACAGAGACAAGAAAAATGGAGGCTGGATAAGGGACCGGAAAGGGCAGATCTCAGATGTCAAAGAGAAAAACAACCAACAGACTTTTAGACATCTGAAGGCAGCCTTGTTTAGGGAAGCTTTTAATGTTTAATAGGTTATTGTATTTTAATATTCTGTTGGTAGCCGCCCACAGCGGCTGGGGAAACCCAGCCAGATGGGCGGGGTATAAATAAATAATAAAAAGCCCTTGAGACTGACCCAGAAACTCCAGCGGGTGCAGAATGCCGTGGCGAGACTCCTTACGGGGTCCTTGCCACGGGATCACATTCATCCAGTGCTTTACCAACTGCACTGGTTCCTGGTGGAGTACAGGGTCAGGTTTAAGGTGCTGGTTTTGTAGGACCCTCGTACCTACGGGACCGCCTCTCCTGGTATGCCCCAATGGAGGACCTTAAGGTCCACAAATGACAACATTTTGGAGGTCCCAAGTCGCAAGGTGGTTAGATTGGTCTCAACTAGGGCCAGGGCCTTTTCAGTACTGGCCCCGACTTGGTGGAATGCTCTGTCACAAGAGACCAGGGCCCTGAGGGACTTGACATCTTTCTGCAGGGCCTGCAAGACAGAGCTCTTCCGCCTGGCCTTTGGTATGGACTCAGTCTGACCCTCATGTTTCCCTCCCCTTATGGTTTTGATCTATGGGCTATTTTTAAAATGAGGCTGCATTTTAAATTATATTTTAATCTGTATTTTAAAATTGTTTCTCCCCCCCCCCATTATGTTTTTTATTGTAATTTTACTGGTGTTAGCCTGAGCCCGGCTTCTTATTTTCCCCTTTCAGGGCAGAGCTGTTACCTTTCAGGTCTGAACTCTTCAGGTTCCGGCCAATATTCGGGGTCCCGATGAAGCGTGTAGGGTGGGATCATCACCAACGTGCCTTTGGGGATAGTGACGCCATTGATTTCAACATCTTTCTTGCAGAGCCTTTCGAGCCTCCCTCCAAAAGGATACAGCCTTTGCGTTTCATTCAGGACCATGTCAAGATACTCCAGTTGCATGATGGCATCGTAGGTGAGAGGAGCCTTTGGGGTGATTCAAAGAGGAAGGTTAGTCGTACTTGGTGGGATCTGAAATCAGGCTCCGTCTTTCTGCAGTTCTTGGGGAAAGCAGGGGAGCCCAGACACAGAGGCCTTCAGAAGGAAAGCTCTCGGTAGCCTTATTCTAAGATTTCTGTCCATGAATGGGGAAAACTCTTTGGGCTATATCCAACACAGGTGGAAGGAAGCTAATGCAACTGATCTTTCTTTTTTTAAAAAAACTCAAAACCCATCTCCTATACTCCTGCTCTGAAGGGTAGAATTTGAACCAATGGCTTCAGGTGTCAGGGGCTGGTCTGGATCGGAAGATTGGGGAATCCAATTGCAGGGAGATCAGCTCCTAACAGAAGAGGAGGAATAACCGCCCCCCCGCTTCCAGCATTTCCAAAAGCAGAGAGACAGGCAGACACAGAAGCTGCACAGTTGAGAGAGGAGCTACCCAGCTATGAAATAGTAGCTAAGCAACCAGAAGGGAGGGAGCAGCTGGGTGATACATCACTCGAAAGTAGGGGAGAACCCCCTCCCTCCCCCTGAACTTGGAGGTCCGAGCGTGTCAGAGAACAAAGGAGATGCAGCAGAGGAGAGACATTCCTTTGGCATGCTTCATGCTGCGGAAGTGGGGAGGAGTCAGAGTAGGCAACTGATATCTTTGCAGAGGGTTGCCTGTTTATGCTTGCAACATAATGCTGTAATAAAAGGACTATACAGGGTACCTTGGTTTGCAAACAACTTGGTTCTCAAACGCCGAAAACCCGGAAGGAAGTGTTCCAGTTTTCGAACATTTTTTAGAAGCCAAACATCCAATGCGGCTGCTGGCTATTGTTTCCGGGGCGCCTGCACCAATCAGAAGCTGCACCTTAGTTTTCGAACATTTTGGAAGTCAAATGGACTTCCGGAATGGATTAAGTTTGACGCTTTTGGTTTTGCTGTTTATTTTGCATATTTGTTTTTGAGGCTTTCTCGGTTAATTTGTTTTTGTGACTGTGTGGAACCCAGCTCAGCTACTGATTGATTGACTGTTTGACTGCGGAAATGGATAAAAGCCCCCCATCCAAACAATGACTATCATCAGCGCAGATAAGGGGGGGTGGATTTTATTTTTATCATCTACAATACTGTCTTTTTTATTTTATAGTATAGCACATTGATTATTGCTTTCATTTTATGGATCAATGGTCTCATTAGACAGTAAAATTCATGTTTTAGGGGTTGTTTTTAAAAGTCTGGAATGGATTAATTCATTTTGCATTACTCACTATGGGAAAGCACGCCCTGGTTTTGGAACAGTTTGGTTTTGGAATGGACTTCTGGAACGGATTAAGTTTGAGAACCAAGGTACCACTGTAAATCTAACAAATGCTCTTTAATTCTGATTGCTGAGTTACCAAAAGGGAGAGGGGAACTCCCATAGTTGACATCAGGTTACAAGAAAAAAGATTCCAACTCAACATCTGGAAGAACTTTCTGATAGTAAGAGCTGTTCAACAATGGGAGGCTTTGGACTCTCTCTCCTTGGAGGTTTTTAAGCAGAAGTTGGATGGCCATCTGCCAGGGATACTATAGTTGAGTTTCCTGTATTGCAGGGGGTGGACTAGATGCCCCAGGGGGGTTCCTTCCAACTCTACAGTTCTACAATTCCAGACACCCAAAACCCTCTCCATTGAATCCAGACTCACCTTTGCAACTTGCACATTCTCACCTTGTTGGGCAGGATCGTATCTATCTCAGCTTGAAGCTTCTGCTGGACATCGGGGTGAATGGCTAACAAGTAGGCCGTATAGCCCAAAGAGTTGCTGTTGGTTTCATATCCACCAAAGACAAAGGTGAAGGCTTGGGCCAGGATTTCATCATCGGTCAAGCCTGCAAACAAACAAAGGCCAGAAAGATGAAGCAGAAATTACAACTAATCTAGACTGTTTCCATGCACAATTCAATGTGTTGGTGCTAACCTTTAAAGCCCTAAACAGCCTCGGTCCTATATACCTAAGGGAGCATCTCCACCCCCATCATCCAGCCCGGACACTGAGGTCCAGCTCTGAGGGCCTTCTGGCAGTTCCCTCACTGCAAGATGGGAACCAGGCAGAGGGCCTTCTCGGTAGTGGCACCCACCCTCTGGAACACCCTCCCATCAGATGTCAAGGAGATAAAGAATTAACCTTTCGAAGACAGGCCTAAAGGCAGCCCTGTATTGGGAAGTTTCAAATATTTGATGCTTAGTTGTGTTTTCAGACTATGTTTGAAGCCACCCAGAGTGGCTGGGGAAGCCCTGTCAGGTGGGCAGGGTATAAATATATTATTATTATTATTATTAGCCCCAATAATGCAGCACATATACTAGGTGGGAAAATGATCTGCATTGGTAATGTCAGGGACCATGCTGAGGAGGTCTGGACTGAGGAGAAATGGTGGGAGCCTCCCCTGATCAGAATCCTGAATCTTCCCAGGAGCAGGACAGTATAGATTTGGAACAGTGGTTTGCAGAGGGACATAGTTCAGAAGGCAGAAGCTGGGAAATACTGGATGGGGAACAGCTAGGAGAAGAAACACTGGGGAGGAGAGAGTTAATAGATTCACTGTCTCTGGAAGGCATTCAACTGCTCAGCCCAAGGTCAAGAAGAGCTGATAAGGTGGAAGCACAGAAAGCACAGCGGTTACAAGATCTGGTTACAAGACGTGGTAGTGATTAGGGAGGAAGTGGGTGGAACCCTTAATTGGGAGCACCGCCATCCCTAGGAAATGGATTCTTTGTTCTCTCACTGTGATCATTAAAGTTTTTAACTGGCAAAAAAGACCCCTTTTCCTTTGTTCTGCTTATCTACTGCCAATGGGGGGGGGGACACTGATTCCCTGAAGTCTGGGAATGAGCGCCATGCACTGAGCCTCTTGGCTTTGTTTGCTTTGGTCATTCTGCCAACCTGGATCAGAACTTCATCCCTAAATCGCAAAAGGGCCTTTTCAGTCCTGGCTCCCCATCTGTGGAATGCCCTCCCCGGTGAGATCTGCTTGGCACCTTCACTGACATCTTTGGGGCTTGTTTCCCTTCGGTTTCAGAGACCTCGAAGTTACACTGAATTGACTCCCAGGAGTGGCATTACCTTTATAGGAGGGATCCGAGCCGTTGCTCTGGTGCTCGCTGTTGGACTTCTGGGAGTTGATCATCAGCTGCAGGAAATCCACCCGGCCCTAAGCATAGAAACAAATAAAACAGCAGAGAAAGGAAGCTGAGGAAAGATCCCCCACAGACCGAGATGGTTTGCTCCCCCAAGTTTCTTAAAGGGCTAAATGCAGCCCTGAGAGTCGGCTGCCTTTGCCCTTAAGGACATTGGCTGTTTGGTGATCTTGCTGTTATTAGGCAGAACAGGACATACTGAGGAGGCAAAAGAGTCAAATCGTTAGGTTGCTTTGTTTAGAAAATATGTGCTGGTCCCGAGGGTTAACCGTGCGGCAAGGTCCGAGTCCAGTCCGAGGTTGAGGGTACGGTATGGAGGCTGTCCATCAAAGCTGAAGCTGGGTCCAAGGCAGGGAGTCGGGTGAGGTCAGGAACTCTGGCAGAAGAGCAGGACAGGGTGCAGACAGGAACAGGCTACAGACAATGTTGCTCCCGCAACCTGGGACTGGGGCTGGCCAGCTTTTATCTGCCCTGAGGCATAGTGCGGCCCCAGTCCACAGGTGACTCGCCTCTCCTGGCCTGGAGGCGAGCACTCCTCCTGCGGGAACTTAGTTCCCTCCACCTCTCTGCCCTGAGCCTCCGCAGCTCAGGAGAGGCTGGAGGGTTACCGGACCCAGAGGCAACCTCCGCTTCCTCTGACGGGGCTGAGAGTGGAGCACCTGCAGGCAATGGGTCCTCCACCCCCTCAGGAGCCAGAGCAGACTCAGCTGGTGCCTGCACCTGAGGAGCCAGCACAGGTGAGGACCCTTCAGGCTCAGGCCCAGCCCCGGCTCAGCTGGTTCTGGAGGCGGGGAATCCTGTGCAGGCTGGGATTCCTCAGGTTCAGCCTCCGAGTCCGAATCCCAGGCCATCACAAAATAGCAATGAAGCAGCACAGAAGAGGTGAGTCTTGAGGGATCTTTGGGTGAATAATTTCGTCCCCTCCAAGGAAAGTTCGTTCTGGTGTGAAATTTTTGTGTGAATTTTTCACCCTCAAAATTCAGTGTGGCCTGAATGCTTACCCCCTGGCCTTCTTTCTCCCGTGTCGCCTTTATTTTCGCAAATGACCTCTCGAAGAAGTTCATAGCTTCTGGGTTGAAGAAAGTGATTTTCATTAAGTTGAGGAGAGAAACCACGAATGGGAACACAACTGCAAGAAACAGACATTCACAGTGAACAGGAAGCAAAACATCAGACAGACATAGTTCTGTAGAAATCCATGAGTAAACTTTGGTTTATTTGCTCTGAGGGTCAGTGCTTGTAAGCCTTAATAGCATGTGGTCAGTCCCCAAACACATTGTGAATCCCAGGGTTACAGATCCATAATGTGCAGTACCGAATCGGTGGCGCATGCCCTTCTGGCCTGCACTCTTTATAAAGACTTGAGGAATGAGTTTTCCACCCCTCTTTTATTGTCGCCCAACCACTGACACCGTGTCCTTTCTCTTGGCAGATCAAGATGAGCAGGTGACAGCAAAGGTTGCAAGGTTTTTAGCTGGGGCAATCAGAATCAGATAATAATAATAATAATAATAATAATAATAATAATAATAATAATAATAATAATAATAATAATAATAATAATAATAAATAAATAAATAAATAAATAAATTTTATTTATACCCCACCCTCCCCAGCCGAAGCTGGGCTCAGGGCGGCTAACAACAATCAAAATAATCCAACATTCTAAAAACCTTTCATTATAAAAATTAATTAAAATCAAATTGATGGCAACCATTAAGCAAAATTCTGTGCAGATTGCCAGAGGAGGGGTCAGGCTGCACCCTGACCAAAGGCCTGGTGGAACAGCTCTGTCTTACAGGCCCTGCGGAAAGATGTCAGGTCCCGCAGGGCCCTAGTCTCTTGTGACAGAGCGTTCCACCAGATTGGAGCCACAGCCGAGAAAGCCCTGGCTCTAGTTGAGGCCAGCCTAACCTCTCTGTGGCCTGGGATCTTCAGGATGTTTTTATTTGCAGACCGTGGGACATACCAGGAGCGGCGGTCCCGTAGGTACGAGGGTCCTAGGCCGTATAGGGTTTTAAAGGTTAAAACCAGCACCTTAAACCTGATCCTGTACTCCACCGGGAGCCAGTGCAGCTGGTATAGTACCAGATGAATGTGATCTCGCAGCAAAGACCCCGTAAGGAGTCTCGCTGCAGCATTCTGCACCCGCTGGAGTTTCTGGGTCAGTCTCAAGGGCAGCCCCACGTAGAGCGAGTTACAATAATCCAGTCTGGAGGTGACCGTCGCGTGGATCACAGTGGCTAGGTCAGGGCGAGAGAGATAAGGAGCCAACTGCTTAGCTTGGCGGAGATGAAAAAATGCCGCCTTTGTTATAGCTGTAATCTGCGCCTCCATAGAGAGGGAGGTATCGAAGATTACACCCAAACTCTTAACGGACGATGCTGGCACTAATTGCACCCCGCAAGAGATGGGAGTTGCCCCCTCAATCCCATATCGCCCCATCCCAGCCAGAGGACCTCTGTCTTCGAAGGATTTAACTTCAACCAGCTCCCACGTAACCATCCAGCCACAGCTTCCAGACATCTGGTCAGTGTGTCTGGGGCTGAGTCAGGATGGCCATCCATCAACAGATAGAGTTGGGTGTCATCGGCATACTGATGGCAACCCAGCCCAAAACTCCGGACAAGCTGGGCGAAGGGCGCATAAAGATGCTGAAAAGCATCGGGGAGAGAATCGCACCCTGAGGCACTCCACACACCAAGGAGTGGCGCGATGACAATTCCCCCCCAAGCGCCACCCTCTGTCCCCGACCAGAGAGAAATGAGCGCAGCCATTGAAGGACTGTGCCCTGGATCCCCACGTCAGCAAGGTGGTGGTCCAGGAGTTCGTGATCGACCATGTCGAAGGCTGCTGACAGGTCTAGAAGAATCAGCAGCCCCGACCCGCCTCGTTGCCTTTCAAGTGCAGCATCTCACTGGCTCAGTCACCCCCAAACTCGTGGCGCAGCAGAAGAGCCTGCCATGGCACTCCGACCAACGGGCGGGCTCTTCCCCGAACTCAACTCTCAGGCACCAGACTCTTGGCCATCTTGGCCCAGTGCCCCTGAGAGCCCAGCGCCTGGATGCCCCGCACCCCTATCACCTATGGGTAAGATGGCCCTGTTCATTGATGCTTCATGCAAGGGCTGTTTAAACCACAGCCAGCAGATCTAAAAACTGAACTTCATGGGATGACCAGAGAGATTCGATTACAGAAAAGGGAGAAGGTGTGGAATCTGCGGACAGTGAATTGGAGCTATCTTTGATTAAACAGGGAGGTTCTGTGGATGATGAACGATCTTTGCTTAAATATGGAAAATCAGCAGATGTTGGCGAGGCAGATATGCAGTTGTCTAAAGGGCTGGACCTGATGAAGGAATCTGCTGCAAAGTCAGAAGGAGAATTGACGATGGTTCAAAGCATGGTCTCTCGTGCTTAACATGCTTTCAAAGAAGAGATGAGTGGAATAATAAATATGCAAATAAAGAAAGCAACTCAACTACTGGAGTTTAGACTGATAAAGGACTGGAAGAAAAGGAGGGAGAAGGAAACACGAGGATCAAATACGATTTAAGGAAAATGCAACAGGCAAATAAATATGGATTTACTAAGATTTGTTGGAACCCCTGAAGAGAACATGTCACAAGGAACTGGAGAAAGATACACAAAGATAACAATAAATGAAGAGTTATATTGGACTTTTTGAGTGGCAGAAAGATGAATTCTGGTGGCCTGGGAGGGAAGTTTGTTGAAACACCATCTAGCAGAATAGGAGAAAGCTGGATATCAGTTGCAGCTAGAAACTATTCTGGAGTGCATATGCTAAATGCTTAGAATAATTGTTATATGCATAACTGGTAGATAGAGAAGCAGAAGTACCTCTTTTCTTCTTTCTTCCTCTTTTTTATTTTTTAAGATCTTTAGTTATTGATAGTTCTCTGTTAATATTATTCATATATATGTTTTGATCTCTGAAGATTTAAATTCAGGATAAATGAAAATACATACAGAGAGGTGATGGAGAGGAAGAGAAGGAACCTGTGAGAGAGGCAGGACAGAGTGGCTTTTCTCAGGCCGTGAGACTGAGGATGAGGGAAGTTCTCCCAGGTGAGATCCGAGAGGATTCACATCTACGTATGTGGATTGAAAATTAAGATATAACAGAGGGCTCTGTGTGTGTGTGTGTGTGTGTGTGTGTGTGTGTGGGAACTGCCATCAGCTCAGAGGCGAGAGGTGGAAGGGTAGCTGGGTTACAGGGAGCCTCCAAAGATCATGAGAAGCAGCACTTCCTCCGCGGAGGAGGGAAGCCCCGGCTCTAGTGGGGAAGGGATGCAGGGCTCAGAGGATGCAAGGGAGAGCCAAGACACCGTGCATGAGCAAAGCAGGGGGGAGGCAGGTCCCCCTTTAGCCACACCCTCTCTGCGCAGTCGGTTTTCGTGCAGAGAGGGGAGGCGTCGGCTAGGGGTCAAGAGACTACTCTGCTGGGGAAAGTTTAAGGACCGCCCACTCTCAGATTCTGTTAGTGACTAATAAAGCCTTTGAAAAGACCAGCGGGGATCTTGCCTGTTCGCTCTCAAGCAACCACGCCGGTAGACATATATAGTATATATATACACACACACACACACACACAACTTTGTGCTTGTTGTTTTATTTCTCTTCTTATTTTCCTCTTTCTCTCTTTCTATCCTTTCTCTCTCCTTTATTCTTCTTCTTTGTAATTATTATTATTATTCTTATACTAGTTGGGAGCTGGGTTTTTATTGTATTATAATGAAATTGATATAAAAAGGAAATCTGTAGCCAACTTACATGCTAAAAGTATATGTAGATTAAAGGAAAACTTGGTGAGTTTCTTGATCTCCTTGACAAAAGGGTCATCAGGGTTGTTCATAGAGTCAAGGTCCACACCAAACGAAGTGCTGGTGATCACATCCATGCTGAAGGCCCCAAAGACGCTGGGGAGGAAACAGAGCAGCCAAATCAGGCTCTCAGATGTGTTAAATAACAAACGATTTAAAGGAGGAGACCACCCCTGCCTGAAGGCTTATCGGAACGGAAGTTTCAGGAATGCATGGCATGCCTGATGGTGTCCGCAGAGTAAAGAGTCCAGATTCCTCATGTCCAAGGAAGGAAGATGTCTAGTGTTATGAGAATTATAAGGTCTAAGATATAAAATAAATGTTCATAAATGGACCAGGCAAACACATACACAAATATATAAACCACATGTCAGAAACAGTATAGGGAAACAGTCCTAAAGCCATTTTGACTCTTTCAGTGACCTCAAATATTCCTCTGCAGTGTGGATGGAAATAGGAAAAGCCTCCACATTGTCTCTGTGATCACAAATCCTGCCTTAAGGGCACATTTGGGTATGAATAGGGTGAGCCTGTGACCCTGACTCAATAATTAAGTATTTATCATCACAAAAGAATGGCCAGGCTCTCCAGGTAAACCCATTAACAGGTTTCCTGCCAGACAGGATTCTCCTGTAGACCACCCCCCTGTGATGTATTTCTGCTGGGGACCACCTCTTTCTGTGATGTATGTATGATGTATTGTGGGGGTGGTCTTGAGCTACAGGGTGGCAATTTCAAAAGTCTATACAAGAGCTTGCGCACCATTGTTCTGGGTTCCTCCTCCTTCCTGTTGCAACAGTTAATAAAGATCAGGCTTACTAGCTGCTTTGCTTCTCAATATTCTCTGGTTGACCTCTGTTATTTTCTCCGACCGATGGAGAACCTATATAAGGACTCTGTACGGGCTCTTGGGTACAAGGGGAAAAGAGCAGTTTTTTCCTATAACATCTAGCTTTAGTCCCATGAACATCTTATTGAATGGATACTTTTAGCATGAATTTACAAGCTTTTACCACCTAATGGCTGCTCACTTTGTTAACCCAATCTGGTCTGGATTTACCCCCAAGACAGCCCACGTTGTCACAGGAGGATAGAAGAGGGCTCTGCTTTTGACGGCAGCCTTCCCTGGCCCCAAGTGACTTACTCCTTTGCAACCAGAAGCTCATCCTTTTCCACTTTCTTCTGAACGTTCCGGATCAGAACTTCCCCGTAGTGTTTGATGATGGGAAACATCTGGAATACAATAAATGATGGGGATCTTTCAAGGTGCTGTGAAGGAACTGGAAGCAGCTGCACAGAAGCCTGTGGGGTCGCAGAAAGGTCTTCATTCAAGGATGAAGAGAAAAAGAGGGGCAAATTCTATAGAAGATCAACCCAAGTGGTTTGAGGCAAAGTCTCCCAGCTCCAAACAGAAAATTCAGAGAGGAAGGAAATACAATATTGGCAGGATGCACTGAGTACCTGGAGAAATGATGCAATGTTGAAACATCACTTTAAAACAAAACAAATGCCAGTCGTCTCATTTCATGACAATGTGAAATGGGCTGATTTAAACCCATTCTTGCTAACAACATAATTGGAACATGATAAGCTCCAGTTTCGGACTGAAAAGCTTCTGTGAATTGTGCTGGAATTATAAGGACCCTACAGACCAGTGTTGAATATTTGAGTTCTTCAAGGCTCAGTATCTTTTTCTTTTTCTTTACCTCCTTTAGCTTTCCACTGGTGAAGGTTGGAGAGAGCACAGTGCGAATCCTCTTCCATTGTTCGTCCTTCACCATCGTGATGGCAGACTCAAACAGCCCACCTAAACCTACATTCTAGAGGGAAGCAAGAAAGCAGTGAGGTGGTTTCAAAACAATGAGTCGGCTTTTGAACCCATGACAGATCCCAAACCTGGGATTTCAGTGAGAGCCAGGGGGGACTCATGAACTCAATGAACATGGAGTACAGTGGTGACTGGGTGACTAAGGACTCGGTCACACTTCCCTCTGCTCCATGCTTCCTAGGCACACGTCCAGGCTTCCCAGCTCCATGTTCAAGCATTGCTGTCGTCGTTTTCATCCTGACGCTTTCCTTGGGAAAACCCACATTTTGCCACTGAGTCAGAGCAAACTGGATTGCTGTTTGCTCTGATTCATTGGTAGAACATAGGTTTTCCTGGGGAACCAAGACAACACACACTCAGACATCGAAAATCTGGACCGGTGCCTAGAAACAGGCCACAAAATTTATTGTTTGTTTATTTATTGTTTGTTTATTTAATTATTTCCCGCCTTCTGCTCTAAGGTCTCAGGGCATTAAAACACAATATGAAAACAATTTAAAACAGCATAAACAATAAGCTGGGCCCTACAAACATACACTTGGAGACGCTCTTTGTACTTTTATAATCTGAAGTACTTGAAGTGGGATAAAGAAGACAGGAGAGTTTGGGTTTGATCCCACTTCAAGCACTGCTGAATTCTGAGTCCAGGTGTGCTTAATAAACACACTAATTTAATTGCGAATAGTCTGTCTTAACTGAATTATGGATAATGTTGTTGTCATCCTAATCCTATTCAAACAAAAGACCCGTTTTGAAATGCCTGTGCTGCTTGTAAGTTTAAGGACATGTTATACTAAAGATGACAGGAATGAAGGGCGAATGAGCCCCAAGTTCACACTTGACTTTAGAAGATGTCTTCATCTACCTGCCGCATTACCTGATTATTGTCTTCCAAAGCAACTACTCTATTCCGAACTTAAAAATGGAAAGCATAATGCTGGTGGTCAACAAAAGAGTTTTAAAGATTCTCTCAAGGCAAATCTTTAAAAATGTAGTATAAACACTGAAAACTGGGAAACACCGGCCTGCAAGCGCTCCAGCTGGAGAACAGCCTTTACCAAAGGTGTCAGGGGCTTTGAAGACACTTGAACTCAGGACACAAGAGAGAAACGTGCCAAGAGGAAGGCACGCTTGGCAAATCCACACCGTCATTACTCCCACCCGGAAACCTATGTCCCCACTGTGGAAGGACATGTGGATCCAGAATTGGCCTCCACAGTCACTTACGGACTCATGGTTAAAACCGTGTTTATGGAAGACAATCTTACTCGGCTACGAGGGATCGCTGAAGAAGAAGACATTACCTAATCCTTCCCAATTTAGCATTCCCAATTCAGTGGCATGAAGAACCCGCCCTTCTCGTGCTCTCCTGTCGCATCGCTTAAGACATGAGCCCTTACCCGGCGGTTGGTGAAGGTGGAGTAGCACTCTTTCACGAGGACAGTTTTAATAATGACAGGATCCATCGTGGCTAATATAGGCTGCCGGCCATCATAAAACCTGGATGAAGAGTAAGGAAGATAAGAAGGCACATCCTACCAGTTTTACATTTTGAAAAGCCAAGTGTGTTGCCCTGAGCTATGGGTTGCGTTCCCTGCCCTGGCGCCCTCCAGTTGACTGATGGCAACTGTAGTCCCAAACGTCTCAACAGTGCCTGATCAGTGGAGGCTGACTATAAGGGCTTGTTCCTGCTTTTCCCATGGCTAGAAAGCAGGGCTCTAGGTGGTTTCCTACATGAGACATGCTTTCTAGACATGACAGGGATGTGGGTGGCACTGCGGTCTAAACCACTGAGCCTCTTGGGCTTGCCAATCAGAAGGTCGGCAGTTTGAATCCCCGCAGTGGGATGAGCTCCCATTGCTCTGTCCCAGCTCCTGCCAACCTAGCAGTTCGAAAGCATGCCAGGGCAAGTAGATAAACAGGTACCACTGCGGCAAGAAGGTAAACAGCATTTCCCTGCACTCTGGCTTCTGTCATGGTGTCCTGTTGCACCAAAAGCAGCAGTAGATAAATAGATACCGCTGTGGCAGGAAAGTAAACGGCATTTCTGTGCGCTTTGGCACTTGTCACGGTCCTCCGTGCGCCAGAAGTGGTTTAGTCCTGCTGACCACATGACCCAGAAAGCTGTCGGCCTGAAAGCGGAGGTGAGCGCCGCAACCCCATTTGACTGGACTTAACCACCCAGGGGTCCTTTACCTTACCTTTACCTTTTATCTCTAGACATGAGTCGGAGCAGTTTTCCCCTTGCCCTACTCCATTCCCAGGGAGGACCCACTCTTCAACTCTAAATCAGAATGAACAGCAATCTGGACAAAACCCAATTGCCATTTGCTCTGATTGAGCACTGAAGAGCTGGAGGCAACAGAAGGGAAAACCTAAAAAAGGTGGGGCAGTCAGGAGAGTCTCTGGCTACCAGCATGTTCACCGTTTATGGCAAGCTTTTGAGATCCCAGAGACATTGCAGATAAAGGTTTCTGTTTCAGAATATTTCCTCCTTGGGATCAAACAATGGGGCTTGGGATGCCCTGAGAAATACAAGCTGGTCAGAATCAGAAATTCTCTTCTTCTTTTTTCCCTTTCCTTCCTTTCTCTCTCTCTCTCTCTCTCTCTCTCTCACACACACACACACACACTTCTTTTCAGTTTGTGTTTTTATTTGGATTAGGTTTTTTTTAATCCTTGATAGAAAGATATTGAATGTTTGATACTAACCTCTGCATTTTCATTCAAACCTAAATAATCTGTTGGAGGGGGAAAGGAAAAGAAATACAAACTGGTCATAAAAGGTCACTTACCCCCAGTTCCTCCCATATTTCTGAAAGCACTCTGTATCAAAGTTCATAAACCCCTGCGGAACAATATTTCAGAAAGTTAAGAACAGCCTTTCTGGGCCAGAAGAAGACCCAATTTATGGAGCACCTCTGATCCCTAGAGGAAGGAGCAGACAGGGGTCTTGGCAAACCTCTTAAGCAGGGCAGAAATGTCCCCAGACACTCACCTTACGATACGACAAGAGAGTTCCGATGAAAGGCAATGGCCTCGGACCTGGAATGCCCAGATTTCGAAAATGGCTGTATGGCCAAATTCCATATCTGTTTTTTAATGAAAGGAGAGAGAGAGAGAGAGAGAGAGAGAGAGATGCAAATCTGGCAGATGATCATTGACAGCAGCAGAGCATAAAAAGTTGTTAAGGGTTCCGTGGGGAAACCTGGCAGGTTGTTGTACCTGATAAAGTTGTTGGAATTCCTGCTCCATGTCTGCAGTCATGGGATTGTTGTCTATCACATGACAGTATATGTTTTGACTCCACAGAGTGGGAAGTGACGGAGACAGGATGTTTGTGTTACTGTGTTCTGTGAAGTGGGACTATTGTCCTTTGTTCTTTTTCTCTTTGCTGTCTGATGCTAGAGAGAGAGGGAGCCATGTTGCAGTGCTCCGTGTGTGTTTATATGTAAATAAAGTAGATTAGCCAAAATGCTGAGTTGCTGAGGTCTGTTATGCATGATGCGCAAACTCTGCGGATCCCTAAGCGTGCCAGTGTCAGTTGGCATCGGTCGCTGTGATGTTCAGGCTGAAGAAAGCTTTTGAAGCTCCTGAATGATAGACCAGGAGGGAGAGAACATGCCAGTCGGGCATGTGTCTCTTCCAGGGTCCTACTCGAGTGTAGGCTGAACTCCTGACAAAAGGCACCTCCTGCTGAACACACATGCACACAGAGCTAACCTTTTGGGGGTGGCACGACAGGGCTCAAAAGGAGAGCCCTGCAGGTGCATTGATGCTTTCCATCTGTTCTTGCCTGCTGACCAAAGGTTGCAATTGCAGGTGGTTTGAGCTGGGACGTCTTCTGGTCCCAGTGGTCAGGTGACCTGCTTAGCATCCACAAGATCCCAGGTTCAGTCCTCGGCATCTCCTGGGAACCTTCCTTGGGCTGGCTCCATGTTTGAGGCGGCCCTCCTCAGCTGGGTCCCCCGGGAGGCTCCCTGGACATCACACACACACACACACCACCCAATTCATTTGGGGGTCAGAAATGGTGCTGGCAGTTTCATATCAACAACAACATCAACATCATCATCAACAACAACTATTTGTTCCCTGCCCATCTGACAGGATTGCCCCAGCCACTCTGGGTGGCTTCCAGCTTATACAAAAACATAATAGAACATTGCAGATTAAACACCCTGTGTCTACTCAGGAGTAAGTCCCGTTGAGTCCATGCCTACCCTGGCCTCAGGGAAGTGCATCTAGGACTGCTGCCAAAGCTTAAGGAACTCCCTTTTGAGTAAACTCGCTTAGGGTTGCATTGCAAAAGGGAGTGAAAAAAATGCATGGAACTTTTCCTTCCAAAGCTTGCCTTGCATTTTAGACTTCTGTATTCTACCATCTCCTGTGGCTTTTGGAAGAAGCAATGGATTAAAATGTCCCTGTTCTCCTCCTAACAGTCAGGAAACAGTCCAACAGGAGGAAGATGAGAGAGGAATGTAAACTGATTTTTAACTGTTACATGACTTTGGAAGGAAGAAAGAAAAAACCCAAACTGTTGTCTAGCATTTATTCTTTTTAAGGCTTGTTCTTACTTTCATCCTTTGTAAACAGGTCAGGTCACACCTATTTGCTGGAAGACCTTCCTGGATAAAGGGATTGTGGAGAGAACCTTCCTTAAATCTGAAGGAATATCCTTGCAGTTCAGAGACTGGCATCTCTTATGGCTTTCAGGGGAAGCAACAGACTTAAAATCCCCCCCTTCTCCTTTTCACAATTAGAAAACAGCCCAAGAAAAGGAAGACAAGAGAGTGGTACATACAGCATGAAAAGGCCCAGAAGGACAACGAGAAGGGACCATGTCTCAGTGGAGAAGCTTGGAAGGAGATTCATCTTCTTGGCCCTTGGCGTCTCTCTGCCTCTGGCTTTGATGGAAGATTTCTATTCTCTTTCTGCTTGATCCATGCTGGAGCTCAAAGGGCGAAAATAATTTCACAATATCGTTGACGATCTGTTTGTCTTCACTGCAATTACTGGGCCAAGCTCGATATGAAAAGACGTGGGGTTGGGATTCCTTCTCTTGGATGGGGCAAGGCTGGAGAGGCTGCGTTGCCATGGGTCCTTTCTTATATAACAGCATTTCGTGCCAACCTCTTCAGAGGGCGCAATCTGCCTGTGTAATGTCTCTGGTGAAAACCGGGAAGAGAGCTGGGCTTGCAAAGGGAGGGAGGGCTGCAAAAAGTGAAGCCAGGGTGCTCGGCTGCGTCTAATTCCTGCACTGTCGTCCCCAAAGCCTGCAATTTCGTGGCACATTCCTCCCCCTTCTAGGCCTCCTTTCTGCCGCTTGCCAGGAATATCTTGGCTAATACAGAACAACAAACTCCTGTGTTGCAAACTCAACACAACAAACAACACAAGCAACACGAAGACCAGTATACTAGATAGCACTGTAGTGCTTATTGCATAATATACATGATTTAGTACAACAAAACAAAATGTGTACACTTGTAAATTCTCTGGTATATTTGAAAACAAATGAACACACGTCTGTCAATCTTTGAAAGTCCGTAAAAGTATAATAAGTCTATGGTTGAAACAAAGTAATAGATGCTATCCTGTGGGCTGAGCAGTAAAACTTTTTAGGCATTCATGGTGCCAAAGTAGTAATAATAATAATAATAATAATTTATTATTTATACCCCGCCCATCTGGCTGGGCTTCCCCGGCCACTCTGGGCGGCTTCCAAAATAATATTAAAATACTATAATACATCAAACATTAAAAGCTTCCCGAAACAGGGCTGCCTTCAGATGTCTTCTAAAAGCCTGGTAGTTGTTGTTCTCTTTGACATCTGGTGGGAGGGTGTTCCACAGGGAAGGCGCCACTACCGAGAAGGCCCTCTGCCTGGTTCCCTGTAACTTGGCTTCTCGCAGTGAGGGAACCGCCAGAAGGCCCTCAGTGCTGGACCTCAGTGTCCGGGTAGAACGATGGGGGTGGAGACGCTCCTTCAGATATACTGGACCAAGGCCGTTTAGGGCTTTAAAGGTCAGCACCAACACTTTGAATTGTGCTCGGAAACGTACTGGGAGCCAATGTAGGTCTTTCAAGACCGGTGTTATGTGGTCTCTGCGGCCGCTCCCAGTCACCAGTCTAGCTGCCGCGTTCTGGATTAGTTGTAGTTTCCGGGTCACCTTCAAAGGTAGCCCCACGTAGAGCGCATTGCAGTAATCCAAGCGGGAGATAACCAGAGCATGCACCACTCTGGCGAGGCAGTCCGCAGGCAGATAGGGTCTCAGCCTGCGTACCAGATGGAGCTGGTAAACAGCTGCCCTGGACACAGATTTGACCTGTGCCTCCATGGACAGCTGTGAGTCCAAAATGACTCCCAGGCTGCGCACCTGGTCCTTCAGGGGCACAGTTACCCCATTCAGGACCAGGGAATCCTCCACACCTGCCCGCCTCCTGTCCCCCAAAAACAGTACTTCTGTCTTGTCAGGATTCAACCTCAATCTGTTAGCCGCCATCCAACCTCCAACCGCCTCCAGGCACTCACACAGGACCTTCACTGCCTTCACTGGTTCTGATTTGAAAGAGAGGTAGAGCTGGGTATCATCTGCATACTGATGAACACCCAGCCCAAATCCCCTGATGATCTCTCCCAGCGGCTTCATGTAGATGTTGAAAAGCATGGGGAGAGGACAGAACCCTGAGGCACCCCACAAGTGAGGGCCCAGGGGTCTGAACACTCATCCCCACCACCACTTTCTGAACACGGCCCAGGAGGAAGGAGCGGAACCACTGTATAACAGTGCCCCCAGCTCCCAGCCCCTCAAGACGGTCCAGAAGGATGTTATGGTCGATGGTATCAAACGCCGCTGAGAGATCCAGCAGAACTAGGAAACAGCTCTCACCTTTGTCCCTAGCCCGCCGGAGATCATCAACCAGTGCGACCAAGGCAGTTTCAGTCCCATGATGAGGCCTGAATCCCGACTGGAAGGGATCCAAATGGTCCGCTTCTTCCAGGCGTGCCTGGAGTTGTTCAGCAACCACTCGCTCAATCACCTTGCCCAAGAATGGAAGATTTGAGACTGGGCGATAGTTGGCTATCGTGGCCGCATCTAAAGATGGTTTTTTAAGAAGCGGTTTAATAACCGCCTCTTTCAGCGGGTCTGGGAAGGCTCCTCACGGAGGGAAGCATTCACCACCCCACGAAGCCCATCGCCCAGTCCTTCCCGGCTAGCTTTTATAAGCCAGGATGGGCAAGGATCAAGGAGGCAAGTGGTTGGTTTCACTCGTCCAAGCAGCCTGTCCACATCCTTGGGGGTAACAGATTGGAATTGATCCCACACAACTTGACTAGACAGGACTCTAGCACTCTCCCGCCCCGGCCCTGCTCCCACGGTGGAGTCTACCTCTTCTCGAATCTGAGCGACTTTATCTGCCAAAACTTTGCAAAGTCATTGCAGGAGATCATGTGGCCGCTACTGGGCCCTGATGGAGCAGGTGGTTCCGCTAAATTGCGAACCACCTGAAAGAGTCTCCTGCTGCTGTTTTCCGCAGATGCAATAGAGGCGGTGAAGAAAGTCTTCTTCGCCGTCGCTATCGCCACTTGGTAGGCTCGACATTGAGCTCTAACCCGTGTCCGGTCAGATTCAGAATGGGTTATCCGCCACCGGCGCTCTAGCCGTCTCAACGATTGTTTCATTGCCCTCAGATCCGTGGAAAACCACGGGGCTGTCCGGACTCCATGCAATCGGAGAGGGCGCTTGGAGCCAAACAGTCAATAGCCCTGGTTAACTCCACATTCCAGCGGGCCACCAGGGAATCAGCTGAAAGGCCATCAACATGGGATAAAACATCCCCTACCACTCTCTGGAAACCATTTGGATCCATTAAGTGGCGGGGGCGGACCATCTGAATCGGTCCCGCCTCCCTGCAGAGGGGAAGGGTCACGGAGAAGTCCAGTTGCACCAGGAAGTGATCTGACCATGGCACTTCTTTGGTTTCGCTTTTACTTAATGTCAGATCACCAACATCCATAGAGGTGAACACCAGGTCTAAGGCATGCCCGTGGCTATGAGTTGGGCCAGACTTATTCAGGGACAGCCCCATGGAGGCCATGCTTTCCACGAAGTCCCGAGCGGCCCCTTGTAAGGTCGTGTCGGCATGGATGTTAAAGTCCCCTAGGACAACCAAACTAGGTGTCTCCAGGAGGACATCCGCCACGACCTGAAGCAGCTCGGGCAGGGAATCCTTGGTGCAGCGGGGAGGTCGGTACACCAATAGGAATCCTGTACTGCCCCTATTGCCCAACTTCCAGAACATGCACTCAGAGAACTGGGTCTTTCCAATAGGACGCCTGGTGCAAACTAATGACTTCCTAAAAATCACTGCAACCCCCTCCCCGCCCACAAGGCCTGGGTTGCTGTGCGTAAGAGAAACCTGGTGGACAAGCAGCGGCAAGGACGGGCCCATCTGCTTCATCCAACCAGGTCTCTGTCACACATGCCAGGTCAAATCCTCCATCCACAATCAGGTCGTGGATGGCAGAGGTTTTATTCATCATTGACCTGGCATTGCACAGCAACACTTTCAGGTCATGTGGGTTTCCCTTGTTGATTCCAGTATCCTTCCGGTCAGGACCAGACCTGGAGGCAGGGATAGTCCTCAAACAACGACTAAGCCTGCTTCCTCGGTAATGACATGGTCTGGTCTTAGCGTAACTCCTCCTCCTACCCGTGATCACCGAGATCGGTTGTCCGAGTGCATCCCCTCCTGTGGAACCTGCCCCAGCCATTTTGTTTGCTGGGACCCACTCCCAGGCAGCCCTGACCCCTCCCCTTAAAATCAAATTAAAGCCTATACAAAAAACAAACTAACAGAACAATAAAACTATAAAAACAAAAAACAAAGTTACAAACACAACATAATTAAATTAAACAAATTCCCACACCCAACTAAACACCCACCCCACCCCACCCCACACACCCGAGGCCTCCCTGGAGCCCCATAAGCTGCGGAGGCGAGTATGGGGCCCGCCCCCATGCCCAAGGTGGAAAATGGGCTTCAAGGGGGAGCGGTCCTCCCCAAGACTCACGGCAGAGCGGCAGCAGCGATGTCCCGAGGCCTCCTTGGAGCCTTATATGCTGTGGTGGAGTATGGGGCCCGCCCCCAGGCCCAAGGTGGAAAAAGGGCTTCAGGGGGGAGCGGTCCTCCCCAAGGCTCACCGGCAAAGCAACTATCCAATCACTGAACGTCACTTTCGATCCCTTATTTGCATATGTAGACCTGAACTATCTATAGTATCCCCCTGCTGGCCCAGGGTGAGAACTTCAGTACATAACAATGTAGACAGTGATTCCGGATAATCTGACTGTTTCACTGGAATCTTCTTCAGCACAACTACAAAAGAATTCAAATATGAAACAATGACCTGTGTACATGAAAGCTATATAAACTTCACACATTACAATCCATATTGTTAAGTTGTGGGTGAACATATCAGACAACACAGCGATTCTTCAAACAGCTCTTGTTTATTCAGAGGCCAGAACAGAACTGAACTGAACTGAAGGGTTCAGTCAGCCTGCTTATATAGAGCTCCAGTACAACGTAACTGTAACAATTTTCTAAAACTATCCAATCACTGAACGTCACTTTCGATCCCTTATTTGCATATGTAGACCTGAACTATCTATAGTATCCCCCTGCTGGCCCAGGGTGAGAACTTCAGTACATAACACATATGCTACAACTATAATAAGGACAAAGGTACATACCCCATAGATTAGAAAAATGCACAAAGAGCAGTGGTCATGAGGATACGTAACCGTGTAATCATGTACATTATGCAATAAGAACAACAGTGCTATCTAGTATACTGGTATTCGTGT